TCTTCCATCTGTTGCTGTTGTTTTGGCTGTCTGGCACATCCACCTCTTGTTTTCAAAGCACTTCTTTTTTCTCTAACAGGTGCAGAACCTCTCAGCTCAGCACATCAAAGGGGCTTGTGCACCTGCAAATAAATCACAGCGAATAGTAAGACTTCAGACTCGGAACACCAAAGAGGGCTGATTTAATATTCATGAGGTACAGGGCTTTGGATGTTGAACGCTCGCGTCTTTTGTTCTTGGAAGAAGGGTTGATGTTTCACTGGGTAACTGTATTTTCATATACCTGCGGTCTTGCCTCTCAAGAAGATCACACAAACCCATCTCACGATACATGTTGCATACTGACTTCTATTAACAGGAAGATTCGGCATATCTCTAGAGCTTTCCCTTCACTGGTGAACCATTTAAATTTTTATTTAAGCAACACTTGACCACCAGTATAGATAAAAAAATAAGGTTGAAACAGAGCTGTGAACCATTAGGTGGTTGGTAACCATAATCCTCTCATTCTACAGCCTCTTAATTGTCACTTGTCTGCATCCAGGGATCAGTTTTTTTTGGCAGTGATTAGTAAAATAAGCTTGAGATTAAGTCACAAGTAGTCCACCTGGATGTAAAATGTACTTCTTTGTATGTGAATGAGACAATTACAAGTGCTGAAATAGAGCTCGTGAGAAAAGCTTGCATCCCCAGCGAGCGCTTATAGTAAAAAAACAGCTGGTCAGAACATACTCGAGAAAACATTCACCTTAGAAAGAGTAGTAAGGGATTCTCTTCACTTTTTTTTTCTGTGTTCTCTACACACTCTACCACACTTCCTCCTCTTTCAGTTGAGCTACACACAGAAACATATCCATCCCTTTGATCCCCAGGGGTGAAACAAACCCATCCACTATGACTCAAACCAGACTTAATTCATTTCACATGCTCTAATTTAATGTCTTCACGTTGCAATAGACTGAAATAAAATAGATAGATTTGTTTGGTAATTATTTTCCACATATTTTCTCTTTTGAAACGTGCACATTACACAGGGGTTTTGGTTATTACCATAGATCTCATGCAGAAAAGATGCAGTAATCCATGTAGACCTGCTGCCCCCAGCTGGCAAAATGGTGTCTTAGCAAATTCATTCTTAACAGAACCTGATGGTGCCTTTATCAGAACATTGTTTTAGATACTGTACCTCTAAAATCTGTGTGCGTTTATGAATAATGTACATTATTATCTTCTAATAATAACACTACAATGCTTGAATAAATATTAAAACTTAGTCTAATAAAGAGACAAGATACAGGATTTACAGATGTTTAAGAGTTCAGATTCTCTGTTGTTTGTGTCTTTTGCTTGTGTTTATGATTCATTATTATTCATTATTGTTGCATTATTAACATCCAAGTTATTTTGTGGGTAAATGGAGTTGAGAGTGAAGCAAATTCAGCCAAGTTCCAGTCAGTCAAACTGAGATCTGGTCCACACCTGAAATGTTTATACAGTTTCTGAAACACGCAGAATGGGACTTGGGTGGTCCCATAAGCTCTTGGCTATAATGTCTGCGCACCGTTTCAAGGATAAAACTAAATAAACCATAAATAACGCTAATAAGGCACAAAACTACTTTTTTGATCAACATCCAGCCCACATTATTTTATTATTCAAAGAAACAGTGATAGTCTAACAAGTTTGAGTCAGATCCTCTAGACAGATTCTTCTTTGTTGAAACATTTTGTCTTATGTCCAGAAGACCTTCAGTCTGAGGAGCTGCAGCAGGCTCAGTCTTATAAACAGCACCTTCTCTTAGTGGATCAACGAGTTTGCTGGTGACAGCTATAACTACCAGTAGTTGTTCACGTGCAAAATAAACCATCAGCCTAACAACCGATCGTTAGTGCCATGGTGGCCGTTTCACAGAAGGCATCATCATGAACCAATAACTCTGTGGTATCGCTGAAAAGGACGCCAAGGTTCAGGGACACCACCGAGTCATTGGTTCAGGTATATTGATGACATCTGGGTTCAAATTTAATCTCAAGATGTACAACATTTCTCTGATAACATCAGCTCTATAGATAATTGCAAAAAGTTCACACAAAAAAGATGGCAATTTAGCCTTGTTAGATCATATCAGGTCTGATGGAAGACATTTGGAAACTTATGTGTATCATAAACCCACACACACACAGAACAGTACCATATTTTCCGCCGTACATGCCCTATAAGTTATATCAATCCAAATATGTCTAATAAAGTGGAAAAATCAGTGAATACGTCGCTTTGCCATATACGTCGCATCTATTATGCATCACCGCTGACAACCCGGAAATGTGGGGTGAACCCAGAAATGTGGGCCGAACCCAGAAATGTGGGCCGAACCCAGAAATGTGGGCCGGTGTTGTGCCAAAAATCAATTGGCTGCCAAATGGCGGCCGCGGGAGCGTGCATATGAGGACTTTAACAAGAAGTTAACATGATTAACACTTATAAACAACTATTTGTTTGCTTGAAATAATAGTAAAGGTGTGTCTCAGTCTAACTTTTGCTTAATAAATGCACTTTGACGGTCAAATCAGCTGTATTTCAAAAGCCGATACACGGAAGTAGAAATGTGCAAAGGGACAAGTCGCTGTGCATTTCTTCAAAATTTAACAAGATAACCACCTAAAACAATTGTTGTTAGCTTGACTTTATAGTAAAGGTGTGTCTCAGTTGAACTTTTACTTAAAAGCACTTCAATGGTCAAATTAGCTGCATTTTGCCTGGGCGGCGCAGCGAAATGAAGCTGATTTGACCGTTGCTCCAGACGAGCTGGACAATGGTGGCAGGCTATGGCAAGCCGACTATGTCATTAATAGCCACTTTTACCTATTACATGATACAACGGCATGCCACACTACTCAAGCCTATCTAGCTGCTGAAAATGGTAGTGTTCAGTATTTTCAGTCAGAATGAATGAAAATGGTCAGATCTTAGTCAAAAATTGGTTTATAAATATGGGGAAAATATCCATAAATATGTTGCTTCGGCATAAGTCGCAGGGCATGCAAATTATGCTAAAAAAAACATGACTTAAAGGATGAAAAATACGTTACTTGAGGTTCACTTGCATTATCTGCTGAGGCACAAGTTGAGTCATCAGGACTCTGTACCACAGAGCAGACAGTGTCCCCACAAACTCAGCAGAAGGAGAAATCCCACACAGGACAGGTCCTGGAGCAATGTGGATATCCTAACTGGGCCTTCCTGAAAGCAGAGAAGAAACCCAAACAGGACTCCAGTCAGCCATCAGGTGAAAAGGAAAACCCCAAACCCAGACCAGTGGCCATTCTGTGTGTTGTGGGAGTTTCAGAAAAACTGAGACGTTTATTTTCTAAACACAATGTCCCAGTAGCTTTTAAACCCCAAAATACATTACGGCAAAGACTGGTTCATCCCAAAGATCCAGTCCTCCAGCACAAACCTACTGTGTATGCTGTTCAGTGTCAGGAGGGCTCTGATCAGTCTTACATCGAGGAAACTAAAAAAACACTAGCCAAAAGGATGGCCCAGCACAGAAGATCAACATCATCAGGCCAGGAGTCTGTGGTCTACACTCATCTCCAGGCCAGCGGTCACGCGTTCAGGGATGAAGATGTTCACATCCTTGACAGAGAAGAACGATGGTTTGAGAGAGGAGTGAAGGAAGCATCTTTGTGAAGACAAACTGTCCATCATTCAACAGGGGCAGAGGCCTCCATGTTCAACTGTCCCCCTCTTACAATGCTGTTATAGTATCACTCAGCCCCCTGTGAATAGCAAGCAGTCATCAGGGTGCTAATGATTGGTCGTTAGGCTGATGGTCCTCCCTTTGTATGTGAACTAGTTTTGAATGTCATCAAACAATTGGTTGATCCACTATGTGCTGTTTATAAGAGAGTTTGTTGCAGCTCCTCAGACTGAAGGTCTTTAGGATGAATGACGAAACGTTCCAACAGGAAACCATCTAAAGACTTGACTCAACCTTATCAGATTTATCTACCTGGATTATTGAGCAAGCATCAGGGCAAACAGTAGCAGTGTGTTAAACTATAATTTGACATTATTATTATAAAAAAAATATATATTTAGTTAACAATTATTATTTTACATTCATATTTTTCTGCAACAAAGGTAATAGAGAAATTTGTCAACACAACCACACAATTCTCGCATCATTTCTTTTTTTATTTCAATATCGCTGCAAAAAAAAAAAAAAAAAAAAAATCCAAACTTTTCTCTGTTAAATCTTAGGACATTAAATTTGTTTTCTCTCTTATGTTGATCATAAGTTAAACCTGAATATTTTCAGTGGAGTGTGTTCTAAAGACGCCCACCTTTCATCTAAAATGCATTCAATCATTATAAAGACTCCTAAAGTCAAAAAGATTAACAAATCTTCTTTCGGCATTTCCCTCTTCAGGAGTCATCCTCCATCTCACTCTGTCTTCTGCATCTTTTCTTCTCTCCACCTCCATGTAAACTCTAACTTCATCCATATGTCTCCTCTTTGGCCTTCTGCTTTTTTTTTAAAGGATAAACCAATGTTGGGTCTAAATATAACAAATGAGAAAAACAAGTTCACTTGCCAGAAACGTGCCAAGCTTTTGGATTTTATTCCTCTTAGTTGCTGGTGCAAAACTGTAATTGTTTTATGGAGATTGTATCTACGAGGCATCACACAAAAACTACTATTGTAACGCGTTACGTACACTTGTGCAAGATCCTTTCGAACATTCTATGAAACGTAAAGAAATTTTGTTTATGCTTTTGTGCAAAAATAAGTCTTTGGCCCCATTAAAATGATGATTAACTAAAACATGACTCTAGTGCACTCTTTGTAAATTTAATTTTAAAAACGTCATTGCGAAATTCAGCTTAAACTCAAGAGCCATTAAAAGGAGATTCTGATAAGTGCTCAGTTCTTTATTCAACTTGCTCTGAACTATGTTCTGTGTCCGTTCATCAGTGGCTAATGTCGACACGTTTTAGGACTTGGCAGGCGCTGAATGACAAGTAGCTGCTAGAACTTCCAGAGACTCGCTGATGTTTGAGTTTGCGCTATCTTGTCCGAACCACATGAACTGCTCCCCTGCCTGAGCCTTCGCTGCCTCTTCTGACCTCAGCTTGTGGTTCTGAGGGAACCGTCTCCTTCTGTTTGCAACATCAACGGTCCCCATCGATGTGAAGTCATTTCTGTAAGTACTGCTGGTTGTCTCAATTCTGCTGTCAGCACCGTCGCACAGACAAAAATGAGAGTTATGCTGTCTCAGATCATCGGGGGGCTTCCTCCGTCCAAACCCCTGATACAACACAGAAGAGATGGAAGGGTTTTGAAATAAAGTTCCAGATCTAAACATTTAAAATACCCTCTGTTTTAAACGTACTTACGTGAGAGAAGTCCAAAATGTTGTCTTTTGAGGCATTGTTGTCATGACAAGAAAATGGATCGTCTCTGGGTTTCTGTGAAACAGCACATTTAAAAGACAGCTATTTTTTTAAAAACAAAGTTTTTTTCCCCCAGGGCTCTTGGTAGAGGTTAATAGATGACAGCATTACGCACCTGCTGAGTTTTCCATTTAGGATAGCGTTCAAAGTTGAAAACCTGAGGCAACATCTTCACCTGACTCTGCATAATTCCAGTGGTTGTACAAGTTTCTCGAGATTTGACCTCACTTTCTGAAGAATCTGGATGAACAAACTGAAACAAGTTCTTAAATAAGATAGAAACGCATCATTTTACTGTTAAATTTGTAATTAGGCAATGAAATAAATAAAAAATTACATACCCATTTGCCTCCATTGTTCATAGAAGAATACCTTTGTTTCCCTTTTACCATTTTGAGATGCTGGGTTGGCTGAGCAGCTTCACCAGAACACAACACACACACGCTGTCCAACTTAACTAATTCAAACACCAGTGACTATGGAGACCTGTCACAAACAACCTGAAAACTGATCCCAGATCACCACGGAGATGTGGAATTGGAATTTTTACTGTAAAATGTAAAGAGATGCACCGTTTACAAACTATTGCTTGAGATTTAAAAGTGCAGCATTAAATGCAATTAAATTGATACATTTCATTCCTTTTCACATATGCTTTATGTTAATCTTATTGAAGAATAAAATGTTTTTTCCTGTTGTTTTCTGTTCTAAAAAATGTAATGAAATGCGTTTTTAGGTTCAAGTAGTTATTTTCAAGAACACATTTTCAATATAATACCATAAAATCACGCAAACAAACAAAATCTCTCATTTACAGATGAGGAAATCTCATGTAAGCAATTTTTATGCTGAAAAAAATTATCCATATACTTGTAGAATCTTTCTTTAGAAACTTTCTTCATCTTTTCCTCTGATCAGGCAGATATTGCAATAAAGTGTTGAACTTTGAGCATGTGTGACGCTTTCTAATAAACAATTTCCATTTCAATACCTCATTTACTTTGATGCATATTGCTTTCAGTGTTACATTTATCATTAATCTTTTTTTTTTTTAAACCAGGCAAGTCACACTTTTTCAAGTGAGGCCTGGGCCAAAAGCAGCCTAAACATGCATGTTTTTGGACTGTGGGAGGAAATCGGAGTACTCGGAAAAAAAACCACGGAACACAGGGAGCATGCAAACTCCACTTAAAAAGATCCAACGCCCAATCTGGGGCTTGAGCCCAGGAGCAGTGCTAACTAAAAATAAAATAAAATAAATAAAAATGAGGCTGTCCAATGTGCTCTGATCTACATGTTAAAAAAGTATACCCAAATAATGGGACTCAGTTCTCAAGTATAAGAAATGTTCATTATACAAAAATTATTTAGCTCATAAAAACATGACAACAACAAATAAAATTATGTAAAAGTGATGGGGCACAATCTTTTTTTGTTTTTTACGTTTTTATTTTTGCTTAGAGCTCAATCACACTGTGTACGCCTTCATAGAATATTTCTGAAGCGAAGCGTGCCAATGGGGACAAAGTCCAGATCAGATTGGCAACAAGTAGCTTCAAATTTAAGCATGATACATGAAAAAGGAAATAACACATTGAACGACTACAGCTCAAATATAAAACACTGAATACAATATATATGAATTAAAAATGAAAGATAGTTGACTTATAATTGGATTATCATGCCAATGTTTTTCTTAATCTATAGTAAGAAATAGGCCAACAGTGATTTTTATGACCCCAAAGGGACGGCAGACTTCTGCTGAGGCTGAGCATCATGTGTAGTCTGAGTGGCCTTTGTTGGCTTGATTCCTGTAAGACAAGAGACGCAAGTCAAAACCTTTAAATGACAAAACAAACCAGGGTAACAGATTTAACTTTTACATATTTTTTTGAACAATTAATGACAAGTTAAGAAAGCCAACATTTTAAACACAGAGCAGTTGACAAATCAGTCTAAAAATACATTAAAAACACGTAAAAAGAACAGAGAAAAGTCTGAGAGACGGTAGTTTGCCGAATCCGGATGTAAGCCCAATTTGAACCATCTGATCTCCATGGTAACTGACGCTGGCCCCGTCACCTAATCTGAAGAGGTTTTGGATAACTCAGGACTGTTTCGGAACATATCTACACACATTATTCATATCGTATACAATATGAATTAGTTATTCAAAGATGGTTCAAATAGGGCTTACTTCCGTATTCGGCAAACTACCATCTCTCTGACTTTTCTCTGTTCTTATGTGTTTTTAATCTACATACCAAAAAAAAAAAAAAAAAAGTCAGGATATAAGGTTTTCTAAATTAATTCAGCGCTGTTTTGGACGTGTGTACACAAAAGGCAAGCTACATGGTGCATAGCAGAGAGAACTTCCAGGGTCAGACCACTTGTCAAAAATGAAATCATGGTAACCTAATTAAAACTGAGCGCATGTTATCCGTTTTTTTCCATTTTCGTTTTGTGCACAAAATCAGAAATCGGATGACGCTTCATTATCCGATTTTTCATTTTGGTTTAATAAAAAAAAGAAAGAAAAAAAGTGTGTTTTTGTTTATTTAATTTTTCGTTTCAAACGAAAAAAAACAACTGCCTGAATGGACCGTACACTGACCCAGGCTACAGAATTATATGCATTTTATTTACTGTTTCATAAAGTGTTATATATAAGTATAAGCACAAGTATGCTAATCAGCTACTACCACACCAAGGTTTAGCGCAATATCTGTAAAACTGACTGACTTATAGACATTTATCAAATGCCAAAAAGGGAGAAGCAGGTAAAGATAATGGAAGAATGGATGGATGCTTTTTAAGACTGACACAGATGTTTCTTTTGTACCATTCAAAGAGCTCATCATCGCAGGAGCAACTTCTTTCATTCCCTCCCTCTGAAAGCGCTTCTTCAGCTGTTTGGCCAGGTGTTGCCACCTGATTATAAAAAAAAACAGAATTCCAGACAAATTAAAATCTACAAAAATGTAGCTGTTGTCATTCAGAGCGACCAAGCTGTTTTTTTTAAGACACCAGAAATCATGTTTTTGTTCTTACCGTTCCTGTATGTCGTTGTACTTATTCAGCCTGTCTGCCCCTTCCTTCTTCTCCTCGACCCACCTCTGCAGGAGACGTTCTGCGTCTGCATGAGCCTGCTGCAAACCCTCTTTGAGTCCACTCTGCTCCAAGCGCAGAGCTGCCAGCTCCTTTGACTGACACTCGATGGTGAACTCGTGCTCTAAAAAGGCTGCTTTCAAGTTGTGATTCCTTTTAGCCAGAGCGAGGGCCTCTTGACGGTACTGGGACACACTAGAAAAAGCCAATTAGAGATGTATTGATCTCTTCATGTTGTTTCATGTGGCTTTTAGGTCATGAGTTTAGACATTGAAACAAATGGATTGACTTGAATCCCTCCACCCTCATCCCCCAACCAGGTTCAGCCTGATTGTTTGGTTACACCACTCATTAAAAAGAACTGATAGTTCTAATATCAAGCTTACTGAACAGATGTTTTCTTTAAAACAACAAAAAAAATCCCATACTTTTTGTCAAAATTATTACATCCGTTTACTGCTGGATGATTAAGCCTATTTTCTGTAATAATAAATTCCCTCCAAAGTCCATCTTTGGATGCTGCTTCCTAAGCTCTATGAGCAATACTGTATATTTGTGAACTGACAGATTACCGTGACTGCCAGTATTGCAGCTCAGCTTCTTTCATATACAGGACTGCAGTAAGGTCAGAGACAGCTTGAGACAACTGAAGGGGGAAGAAAGCAAAAATTGAAGGAAAAATAGGAAAGAAATATGGTTTACAGGTAACCTGGCAACCTGCACTAAACAAATATAAATCTGTTTCCTGCTAAGGCAAAAATAAAACATCCCAAGTATTTCTTAAATTTCACATAAATGCTCATTTATATGAAATATTGTGCAAACATGATTTTGAATGGCACTTCATTACCTTTTCTGCCAAGTGTTCACTTTCTCTCAGCTGCAGTTGGAGATCGATACTCCCACCTTCTGCACCACCTGGCTCCACACTAAAAATAATTTTAAAACTGATGCTGAGAATTCAGAAAGAAAGAAAAAAAACTCCATGAAAGTGAATTGCTCTAACCTCGTATGAATATCCTCAAATATCTGTTTGCGGATTTCAAGACGTTCCTCCAGCTGAGACACTGACAGAAACACATGCAGCCTAGTCAGACACAATGATTACTATAAATAAAACGCCAAGAACACTGTGAAATAATCTTACAGCTCGTGAAAACTCCAACAAATGGACGTTTCTCTTCGTGATCTCTCTGAAGAAGTTGAGCGCGCACGTGGTTCTTCCAACTTCCCATATTATATAATATCACTGTTTACGCTTGTTTGCAAAATAAATAAATCAAAAAACGAGGAATGACTGTGCTTTAATCAGATTTGGCGGTAATGAAATAATCAATAGGGTTCAGCAGGACAAGAATTTACATCTGTCAGCAACGTTTCACAACTCCTCCCTTCAGCAGCTGACATTCCTCACCTAGATAACATCTGACCTAATCTAATAATAATGTAATAATGTAAATGATATCCTACATGGAAAACATATGTGACGGAAAAGGTTACTATATTCACAAGTAAATAAGATTCAATTTTTAAATACATACGTATATTTATTTAATTTACAATACAAATACGTAATACATAAATACGTACTTGAACTTGTTTATCACTATCTATTCCTGTTGATATATTTTTTTTTGTTGCGATTAATACTTTTTTTATGTGATCAAATGTATTGTTTATTTAAAACAATAAAGAACGCAGCTCTGCAATTAAAAAAAAATTGTTGGAAGTGTTGACACGACGTAACCCATTCACAAATTTCACAATAAAAGTCGTCAAAACAATCCAGCAAGCGCTCAATATTTCTAGAAGAACCTTTGAAAGTACTTCCGGGTCAACACGTCTGTTATACCATTTTCATTTTTTGGGAAATATTGTCGTTGGTTAAGCTTACAGTTTACTTTATAGTATTCTAAAGAACACAATATTTTTATTTAATTAAAATGCGAGCGATGTTTTGTCTTTAAAATTAAAAAAATAAGAAAAAGTATGCAGTCGCACTTACTATGACACCGGAAGTTGTTGTTTGCTTTGCGCTAACGTGAGCTCTGTACAGGGATGTGAGGCGGCCGGTGGGAAAAAAACGGTAAATTACAGGGTTGTCAAACAAGTAACCATTGACTTAACCTTATTTAGTTTAAAAATGAAATAAAAATATACGTGCAAGTATATTTTCGCTTTAGTTTAACACTCGAGTTAAGTAACTTAAGCTTGCTACCGTTTCTTTAAGCTAGTAGCTGGACAAACTAACGTTAGATATCCATGACTTTATGGTAAATTGGTTGTATGATATTCGTTATCAAGGCAATTTATGGATATTTTAGAGATTTTCATAATAATTTATATTTTTTCTACAGGCTGAGACTCAGTGTTAACGGGAGTAAAAGTAGTTTGTCCAGTATGAGCTCATTGTCAGCTGGGGACAGTCTAGAGCCTGGGATTCCCTTTGATAATCAAGCAAAGGAAGACATTGGTGCTCTTAGCTGCACGGGAGACTACAGCAGACAAGTAAGTACCGTAACTTGCCAGAGTAGAAAGTAATGAAAGGGAAAAAATAAATAAAATAGATACTGGTTCTCCTCATTTGGTAAATTGTATCGAAACTGTATGCGTACATCAGCAAGATATTGTTATTTTTGCCACATGGGGTTAGGCACAGTGCAATTAACAGCCATAAGAATAAATATCTTATTTATCATGTAGTTAGTATTATCAAAATTTGTTCACAGACTGTCTAACTTTTTACATGATGTGAAATGCTCTTATCATCTAGGAGTCTGCGATTTGCCTAGGGAATGGAGAAGTGAAAAGCTGTGCTGTGGTCAAGTACTCTGCAGCACCACCTCCGACCACCTATGCCCTCCTGCAGGAGAAAACAGACCTGAAGCTGCCACCGGCCAACTGGCTGAGGGAGAATCCCCAGCTGGGCACTGCTGGCACCACTGTGCTAGGCTCCAGTAGCAAGTGCAAACCTTTTTCCAGGTAAAAATGTCTCATTGGTGTGAATTAGTCAGACTAAGTTTGCAAGATACTGGAAAATATAAATCTACCGTATGCATATATTTAATAATAAGTTAGGTGTTTATTTTTATTCATCAATCTATTCATTGTGATATCAAAACTATTAAGCTGATTTTTATAGTGTTGCAAAAGTGACATACAAATTTAAAAAGCTGAAAGGTTTCATAGTTTTAAGTACTAATAGCAGTCATCATCCATGTTTAAAGAAGGTAAAATATTCTTAGGGACTGCAAAGCTGAAGTCTGTACTTTATTTTTATTAGTATGACTTGCTGAGTTGCAGTTAGATATTTTGATGAATCTGCTTTTCATCTTTGCAGTTTTGGGATGGCCTATGACTTCATCGATTGCATCGGAGATGATGTTGACGTGGTGTCAGACTCTGAGGTTGGAGAGATCTTTTCAGAGCTATTTATTTTTCTACAATGTACATTCAGCTGATGTTACTGTTGTTTCTTTTGTTTTGGTTTGTTTTTTTCTAGAACATCAAGAAGCTTTTGAAAATTCCCTACAGCAAGTCTCATGTCAGTATGGCTGTTCACCGTGTTGGAAGGACATTGCTTTTGGATGAACTGGACATTCAGGAGCTCTTAAGGAGATCCTCTCAGGTAAAATTGTGCTTAGCGTTCTACTAATTAGTATTTTCATGACAACTTTTAAGCATTTTTCTAATTAAAATATATTTGTTGCAGACAGGAGATTGGACATGGCTCAAAGAGATTTATCAGCGGCTAATAGATCAAAAATGGCAGAGAAAAAAGAAGAGCAAAGAGCACTGGTATCAGAAAGCCATTCTATCAAAGTTCCTGTACTACAGGTGAGTATTTTTCATTCTTTGAATGAGTGTACCTTTTAGAATAGGTTTCACTTGTTTAAAAAAAAAAAAAAAAGACTAATTTTTGGAACTATTTACATTATTTTTCTACAGTATAAATGGTGATGGGGCTGCAGAGCCTGTATCAGATGACATGAATCAAAGCGATGAGGAGGATGGAGCAGAAGAGTTCAGCTCTTCATGGCCTGCCACTTTCACCAGCACAATGGCAGATGCAGAAGAATCAGATTCTCCCAAACAGGTAACTTTTCCATGCAATGGCATTAATCTCAATATTGCTCTCACTTAAGTACAATTTAAGTCATTTTTACAACCTTTTGGCTTAAGTGGAATATAATAGAAAAGTCTTAACTAGAAGACTGATGTGTTAAATGTGCAGGAAAGCATTTCTATGGATAGTCAGTTTGCTTTGGGTCAGGTGGCGTCTGTGCCTAAAGAGCAAAACCTCCCTACTCTCTTCAATGAAGGAGAAAATAGTCAGGTAAATATTTTAAAGTTCCTTAATTTTAGACTGCAGCATCCAGTATTTTATGTGTAAAATCTAAACTTCAATTCTCTGATGCATCATGTTTTTCAGGGTTTAAGAAATGACTTTGTGCGAAACGTCATGTGGACATTTGAGGACATCCACATGTTGGTTGGGTCCAACATGCCGATATTTGGAGGTGGTCGTTATCCTGCCGTCAGTCTGAGACTCAGGTTAGAGGTTTTTTGTTTGTTTTTTGTTTTTCGATTTACCACTGTCTCCAAAATGTCTTTGGGGTTCAGATAGATTATCATGATGGCAAAGGCATCATTTATTACTCTGACTTTGTTTTTAGGGACAGCAATAAACCAATCAACATTTTGACTGGTATTGACTACTGGCTTGACAATCTGATGTGCAACGTCCCAGAACTCGTCATGTGTTTTCATGTCAATGGCATTGTTCAGGTACATTACTCCTTTGTGCTTTCTATATCTGTAGTGCAACATATTTGCTGAAATATGTATAGTTTTCATTAGAAAATTGTGGGCACTATTAATAAAATAACCTTGAAATTACACATAGTAAATACACAACAAATTAGCTCAAGTATAACATTTTAGAGAGGATTTATGATCCGATAATACAGTTAATTATATAAAAGTATGTATGTACAGTACCTTGCGAAAGTTTTCGTCCCCCTTGAATTTTTCAACCTTTTGCCACATTTCAGGCTTCAAACATCCATCCATCCATCCATCCATCCATCCATCCATTATCTTTACCCACTTATTCCATTTTTGGGTCACGAGAGTCGCCGGTGCCCATGTCCAGCAATCACTGTGCGAGGGGCGGGGTACACCCTGGACGGGTCGCAAGTCCATCACAGGGCCACATAGAGACAAACGAGACAAACAACCATTCACTCTCTCACTCACACCTAGGGACAATTTAGAGTTACCAATCAGCCTAACATGCATGTTTTTGGTCTGTGGGAGGAAACCGGAGCACCCGGAGAAAACCCACGCATGCACGGAGAGAACATGCAAACTGGCTTCAAACATAAAGATATAAAATTTAAATTTTTTGTGAAGAATCAACAACAAGTAGGGCACAATCGTGAAGTGGAATGAAATTTATTGGATGTGTCAAACTTTTTTAACAAATAAAAAACTAAAAAGTGGGGCGTGCAATATTATTCGGCCCCCTTGTGTTAATACTTTGTAGCGCCGCCTTTTGCTGCAGTTCCAGCTGCAAGTCTCTTGGGGTATGTCTCTATCAGTTTTGCACATGGAGACACTGAAATTCTGCCCATTCTTCTTTGCAAAACAGCTCGAGCTCAGTGAGGTTGGATGGAGAGCGTTTGTGAACAGCAGTCTTCAGCTCTTTCCACAGATTCTCGATTGGATTCAGGTCTGGATTTTGACTTGGACATTCCAACACCTGGATACGTTTATTTGTGACCCATTCCATTGTAGATTTGGCTTTATGTTTTGGATCATTGTCTTGTTGGAAGATAAATCTCCGTCCCAGTCTCAGGTCTCTTGCAGACTCAAACAGGTTTTCTTCCAGAATGGTCCTGTATTTGGCCCCATCCATCTTCCCATCAATTCTGACCATCTTCCCTGTCCCTGCTGACGAAAAGCAGGCCCAAACCATGATGCTGCCACCACCATGTTTGACAGTGGGGATGGTGTGTTCAGGGTGATGAGCTGTGTTGCTTTTACGCCAAACATATCGTTTTGCATTGTGGCCAAACAGTTCGATTTTGGTTTCATGTGACCAGAGCACCTTCTTCCACATGTTTGGTGTGTCTCCCAGGTGCTTGTGACAAACTTTAAACATTTTTTATGGATATCTTTGAGAAATGGCTTTCTTCTTGCCACTCTTCCATAAAGGCCAGATTTGTGCAGTGTACGACTGATTGTTGTCCTATGGACAGACTCTCCCACCTCAGCTGTAGATCTCTGCAGTTCATCCAGAGTGATCATGGGCCTCTTGGCTGCATCTCTGATCAGTCTTCTCCTTGTTCCAGATGAAAGTTTAGAGGGACGGCCGGGTCTTGGTAGATTTGCAGTGGTCTGATACTCCTTCCATTTCAGTATGATTGCTTGCACAGTGCTCCTTGGGATGTTTAAAGCTTGGGAAATCTTTTTGTTTCCAAATTCAGCTTTAAATTCTCCACAACAGTATCTCGGACCTGCCTGGTGTGTTCCTTGGTCTTCATGATGCTCTCTGCTCTTTGAACACTGACACTATCACAGAGCAGGTGCATTTATACAGAGACTTGATTACACACAGGTGGATTGTATTTATCATCATCAGTTGTTTGGGACAACATTGGATCATTCATAGATCCTCACTGAACTTCTGGAGTGAGTTTGCTGCACTGAAAGTAAAGGGGCCGAATAATGTTGCACGCCCCACTTTTCAGTTTTTTATTTGTTAAAAAAGTTTGACACATCCGATAAATTTCATTCCACTTCACGATTGTGTCCCACTTGTTGTTGATTCTTCACAAAATTTTTTAAAATATTACAGCAACAATGTAACTATCTTAGTAGTCTACATGTTCCCTGTTGTGGCAGTTGTGTCAGAACATCACCGTTCCTTAACTTTAAAGTATCTACAGTTTTATTCTCTTTGTCTTGATGTTTTTTTTTCCTTTTCCTTTCAGAAATATGAAATGATAAAAACGGAAGACATCCCTCATTTAGAGAACTCAACTTTCTCTTCAAGGGTAGTAAAAGACATCGCCCAAAATATTCTGTCATTTCTGAAGTCCAACTGCACAAAAGAGGGCCACACCTACTGGCTTTTTAAAGGTGGAGAGAGAGAAAAATATATCTTTAGTTGTTTTTTGTTGCACTATACTTTTGTGTACAAATCCTGTAGTTTGAACTTTCACATCTTGAATCCACAGCTAGTGGAAGTGACATTGTGAAGCTTTATGATCTCACCACCCTGTGTGAAGAAGCTGAAAAGGAGAACTATCAGAATCCCTTCACTCTCCCTGTTGCTGTGTTACTATACAAGTGAGTGTGCGTTTTCTGGATTGGAGTATCTTGGTACTTAGTATCTGGTATCTTAGAATTTTTAATGATTGTAAAAATAATTTGGACATTAAAGAAAATCCAGGTCACATTCTTGAGTCAGGTTTAGTCACCTAAACACACTTTAAATATTTCTAAGTTTAAATTTGACGGTGGTAAAGCTGCAATGCTGTAGAAATGCACACAACCAAATGGTTAACTATTTTTGTGCAGAGTGGCCAACAACTTGATGCTGAAGGTGAGACAAAACAGAAAACACTACGGAAAAATCCGAACCCTGCTTCTGAACTGTGTGAAGCTTCTCGATCAGGAGAAACATCCGCAGGTATGTGTGGTTTTAAAATAAATATTCTGCTGTTCTCATAAGGTTAAGGGTAGAAAAGAGTTGAGAACTCTTAAGAAAGCTTTGACTGTCTTGATTGCTTTAGTTGTTTTTTGCTGGTTATTAATTCATAGTTTAGGGCTGTTTTGGTCAGAGCAGCAAGCACAAGGTAAAACCCTTAATCAAATCTTAGAGGGCTGTAGTTTCAATCTGAATGAACTCATCTCCATCCCGATTTTTTCTTCATGCCCAGATCATCGCCTCAGCCTACTACATGCTGTCAGAGCTGTTCCAGCTCGATGAGCCTCCAGAAGAAGATGAAGGGGAGTCGCTGCGGGACGGTGGCTCAGAAGACAGCTACAGTGACGAAGACAGGGAGGTGGAAGATGATGAGGACGACGATCTGACAGAAGACAGCGATGAGAACGAATCCTACAGTAACTGCTCCAGGCCTCAGGATGATTGTAAAGCAGTGGCCGTGATTCGCTCTGTAGGAGAGCTGTCAGTCCCTGAGAAATACAAATCAACTCTCCAGATCAGAGTGAGTGACTCTGAGAGTGACATTTCCTTCCTTCTTTCCCCAAACACTGAAGAAAGCAGAGTGGAAATTGATGTTAAATGATTGTGTCTAAACTAAATTATATATATATCTTTTATATTTCTACAGCCAAGTTGCTCTTTCCCCATTTCTCAAGATAAAGAGGAGCGTTGCAGACACGTCCTGAGCTACGTCCTAAAGGCAAGTTTCGACCAGTTGTCAATATTTAAAGAGGTGGTTTCTAAAGATAAGGTGCCAAAGATCACAATTGGTGTGAGGTTCACTGCACAGAGCTTGTTTATGGACTAAATAATACTTTTTAAAAGCACAAATAGTGCAATAAACACTGCTGTTACATAGAGAGGTACAGATAGATTTCCTGAATATTATAAGCAGTTAGCAGTTCATGTTACATAAGTAACAAATGTGCCACCTGCAGAAAAAAATGGAATAAAGTGAAGTGCAATGTCAGAGGAGAAAACTTTTTTAAGTAAAAATAAGTTCCCTGTCAAATTCAGAATTGAAATCAAAATCTTACTTCTACAAAGCGCTCAACAACCTAGCTCCATTTTATATTAGAGATCTTATTGTTCCATATTTTCGTAACAGAACACTTAGATCTCAGACTGCATGCTTACTTGTAGTTCCTAGAGTTTCCACAAGCAGAATGGGAGGAAGATCTTCCAGTTATCAGGCTCCTCTCTTGTGGAACCAACTTCCAGTTTCTGTCTGAAAGGCTGTCCAGTTTTACGACTGGGCTTAAGACGTTTCTTTTTGATAAATCCTATAGTTAGGGTTGGCTTGTTATGCTGCTGTAGGCTTAGACTACTAGAGGACAAATTGACCTCATTTTCTCAAATTAATTGTTAAAATTGAGTAGTTTTCATTTGATACTATTTCTATCTTAACATGTGATTCTTGACCTGCCATTGTGTATCTGTTCCTACCAAACCCAGCCAGTTAAAGCAGATGACAGCTTGTCCTAAGTCTGGTTCTGTTAAAGGTTTCTTCCTCAGTCGCCTTCGCCTTCATGCTTGCTCAAGATGAGTCTGTGATTTAAACTCCAAGCAGTCTGCTCCTCAGATAATGTTATTAACTTATTTTTAAATATATGAATGTTTCTGTTCAGTGCCTTGAGATGACTTCTGTTGTGACTTGGTGCTATATAAATAAACTAAATTGAATTGAATTCAATTCAATTGAAGTCTGTCATAATTTGTACAGGGTGTGAAGGCAGTGGACAGTAGCATCAAGAAGGAGAGTGATCTTCCTGCTGCTGACCCAAACATTCCCATTCCCCTAAAATATGAAGATGGAGGTGCCAGTGGGACGTCAGAGAAAGGCATTGCTCTTCTGCTAGAAAGAGGTCAGTCTACTGTTTTATAACAATTTATTGCAGAATATAACAAGGGTTAGAAAACATTATGACTAAACAATTACATTTTTTTTTGTTTCATTTTTTTTCTCCGTGTGTGCACGATCAGTGGGGTTTGTGCACGTGGACCAAAAGCACTCGACACGCTCTGGGATGATCCCCGGGTCCTGGCAGCACCGGATGAAGCTGCAGCTTTTTCTTAAAGCCTCAAAAGCATACTACGTGCTGTCTGATGCAGCCACTAACCTGCTGAAGTACGGGCGAGCTTTGCGCTATATCAAGTTATCTCTGCAGTGTTACGGTGAGTGAATGTAACGGTTTCATTCTGACTTTCAGCATGGTGATATTGCAGTCATAACTGCTTGTAATTTGTACCAGACATCTGGTATTTACTGACCAATTAAATTTTTTTTTTTTTTTTGTCACTTTCTTTTCACGTTTCTTTTTGTTGCTTTTCTCCAGATGCCTATTGTTGTATTAGTGGAACGCTTCATCCACAAGTGCTGCAGTTTCACAGCCAGTGCCTGTCGCTGTGTGGAGACATTCAGCTGATGCTGGCTCAGAACGTCACCAACAGAGCAGCTTACCTCGAGGAGTACAGCTATCAGACCAAAGAGGACCAGGAGGTCCTGCACAGCCTACACAGAGAGAGCAGCTGTCAGGGTCAGTCAGATAGAGATTAAATGAAAAGGGTCTTTATTTTAACTTCCATGCTGAAATCTTTTTACTTTCCACTTATTAGCCTTCAGCGTGGCGACAGACCTGGCCATGGACCCTGAGTACCAGCTGTTTGTTAGCTGTAAATGCTACGAGGCAACACATGAACTCCTCATCTCTGAGGCCTTGAAAGATCAGTCCTCAGATCAGCTGTCTCAGGTTCTCAAAAGACTGGGAAACATCCGCAACGAGATGGGAGTCTATTATATGAACCAGGCAGCATCTATGCAGAGTGAGAAAGAGGGTGCGTTATTTAACCTTTTGGATTTTAATTTTTAACGAATGAATCTTTGTTTATAGAAATGTTGCTAGTTTTCTTCGTGTGCTCTCGTTTTAGTGAAAAAGGCGGTGTCCTCAGCAGAGCAGGAGCTGTGGAAGAAGAGTTTTGGCTTTTTTGAGAAAGGATTAAAGGACTTTGAAGCGATCGGGGACAGCACCAATACGGCCTTACTGCTGTGTAATACAGGCAGACTGATGAGAATCTGTGCTCAGGCCCACTGCACCATGTCTGCTGATGAGAGCAGAGGGGAGTTCTCATCTGAAGAGGCTCTTTATTACAACAAGGTTCAGTTTAAAGACTGCTCTACGTTAAGCATCAATGCATTATTTTTCAGCAGTCGGACCAGTTCCCCTAATTCCTTGCATCTTTCGTTTTACCCCAGGCCATAGACTATTACTTGCGAGCTATGAAGGCACTGAGCAGCAGGGAGAGCCACTCAGCAGTGTGGGACAGTGTAAACTGGGAGCTGTCCACCACTTACTTCACCCTGGCTACACTGCTGCAGGACTACGCTCCACTGTCCAGGAAAGCCCAGGAGCAGGTGAAACTAAAGCATTTCCCCAAAACCTACAACACAAAACGTTATTCTTGAACAGTGATAAAATGCATGTTTTACCTTCTTGTTCTGTCTGAATGAAATTTCTGTTTGTGACTGTTTGTGTCTGCAGATTGAGCGAGAAGTGACAGAGGCAATGATGAAGTCTCTTAAATACTGCGACCTGCAGACTGAGTCAGCTCGTCAGCCGCTCTACCAGTACAGAGCTGCTACCATCCACCACCGCTTGGCCTCAATGTACCACAGCTGCTTTCGGAACCAGGCGAGACAGATTTATTTACTCGTTTAAAATTTTCTTTCATGTTAATATCTTTGATGTAATTCATTACTGGAGTGTTTGTACTGTTCTGTTGCCTGCCACAAGTGAAAGATCTTCTCTGGAAAAAGTGCAAAATTGGATTTGTGGATTTTATATCTAAAGCTTTTCACTGATGTCTGGGTTTGTGCCTGTAATTGTTTGACAGGTGGGAAATGAACAATTGAGGAAGCAACATCGAAGCCTGGCAGAGCTTCACTACAGCAAAGCTGTCTCTTTGTTCCTCAGCCTCAAAGACGCACCCTGTGAGCTGCTTCGCACGTTACTGGAGAGAGTTGCTTTTGCTGAGTTTACTATGGCAGGTAAGCATCTGTTTACCAGGAGTAATATGATGTTGGGCAGAATGTTTTTTTTTTTATTATTATTAAGAGAAGTTTTGAAAGTGTTTGAGAACAGTAATGTGTGTTTTATGATTTTAAAGGCCAAAGCAGCAGCGTAGCAAAGCTGAAGAGCTTAACTGGAGCACTGGAGATTATGACAGAAACTCGTCATGCCTTTCAGTTGATCCGTCAAGAAATGCTAGAAGAGCAGGCAGAAGTACGTCTCAGCTGTGCATGCAATGCTCTGTTCAGGTTTTTCTTCTCTATCTTGTGCTGTTGCATCTTACTCTTCTCTTTTATTCTTGTAGTCAAGCGAACCACCTGCGACTGAATCAGCTGGCTCTCCTGATGCAGCCAGTGGCTCCACATCTGGACTGGACCTCCAAGAGGTGATAAAGTTAATTGGTGTTTTTGAGCCAAGTTTCTCCTTCCTGCTGCTGCAAACCATCAAACTGATGACGACAACAAAACGGAAACCAAGGTGAGCATTAGTCCATAGTTCTGCATCTGTTTTTTTTTTTTTTTTTCACCCAACAGTGACCAGCTTTTGTGTTTATTACAGCAATAAGGATGAGGAAGCAATGAAGAACTACAAGCATGTGTATTCAAAGCTGCTGCGCACAGAGAAAAACACACCGCTCCTCAGCCGTGTGGAGCTCTACATCGAGCTCCTGCAGCAGCTGACCCCACAAACAGGAAGTGATGTCACAGGAACAAGCAAAACATAAAAATCAGTACCTGCATACAGTCGTGTAAAGACTCAGCTTTTCGATAAACTTCTTAAAGACTGTGTGTCAGAAAACAACATCCTAATATCAGAAATTAACAAGCACAAACTTTGAAGACAAAGTTACTAAGAACTTTTTTCCCTCAAATCACCTCCTGCGCCTTTTAAAACAAGTTAAGCATCTTCATCACAAGCTTTGAATTGTATATTTTTGTATAAAGTGGTCATGTAGATTAATTATTTTATTTGTTCTTATGTTGATTTTAGTTAAAATGTGAAGTTCCTGTGGAAACGAATAGATTTTGACTGAACAAAACACCAAACTCTGGGATTGTCTCATTTTCTGCAGAAATCCCCCCCCCCCCCCCCAAAAAAAAAAAAAAAAAAAAAAACACCCAAACCATATTTATAAAAAATATAAAACCATCTCTACATTTTCTACATAGAGCATTAATAGAGATTGATTATAATTAGGGTTAACATATTTAAAGGTTTTGTGTTCTGGTAATGAAATGGAAACGTTTTGAAAGAAATGAGAAACTGTATTTTGCTATAAAAACTGTGCAATATTCAAGCAACCTCTAATGCAAATTCACACTGCTGCTGTTTAAAATGCTGTGTGTGTACAAATGTGAATTAATATTTTGGCATGTTTGGCTTTGAGGAATAAAAGTTTGAAAGTTATTCCGCTACAATCCTGTGGGTATTTAGAAAGTCTTGATAAAACAGCTTATGGCGCCACTAGAATTCAGTGGTTCCCAACCCTGGTCCTTGAGGAACACCATCCTTCATGTTTAAGTTGTTCCCCTGCTCCAACACACCTGATTCAGTGATGTAATTACTTCCTCATGTTCTGCAGAAGCCTGCAAATTACCCATTTATTTAAATCAAGTGTGTCAGAGCAGAGAATCAACTAAAACATGCAGGATGGTGTACCTCAAGGACTAGAGTTGGGAACCCCTTCACTTGATAGCACTATGTACAACACTAAATAGTTGACGAGTTTTGTGTGAACAAGAAGCCCTATTTATAGGTTGGCTTGAAACACTGCAGTGAAGACTGGGACATATCTGGATGGCAGGCCGTAGACTGAGAAAGTCCTCTGGATGGGGGACAAAACAGTTCTCACTTAAAGAAACTGGTTCAAATGACACAATTTAACTTTTTTTGTTGTTAACAAGCCCTATTTAACACAACTCAGAGTAAGATTGTTAACAGGCAGCACTGTGGCAGTTGTCCTCGTGCATCAGTTCAGCCGGTGTTGCTGAGAAGAGGACACGATATGTTCGATGTGGCGGCTGAACTTGCTGACCCCACTGTCACCAAAGTGGATCCACAGCAGACAGAGCTGCCTGTGTGTCCAAGGCGTCCGTGCACCTCATTAATCAAAGCTGATCCTCTGTGCCATATGTTGGACACCAGCTGAAGGTAAAAATGTATATAAAAAATGGAAATGCTGAAAATATTCAGGATTTGTGACTTTAAATTTTAAGCCTGACAATAAAATAAATATAGGTATTCTATAGCGCACTCAAAAAGTAACGGCAGAACATTATTTAAAGAAAGAGGGATGAGAGGCACAAATAGCAGGAAGCATATCTAAACATTCAGCTATCCAGATGTACAGCTGTCCAGTATCGTGTGGAATGTCCAGATTGTGTCCTCTTCATGACAGCAGCAGGTCTGTCAGTCACTGAATGACGCAACGATCAGAAGTCTGGTTCTGCTGGGGTTCCTCTGGTGACGACCGCTTGTCCTCTCTGTAGCGAGAAGCTCCATGGGTCAAAATGTTCTGGAGGATGTCTTTGCTCTCACTGTTCGGTAAGTTGTAGAAAAAGTACTGTGGTGCCATTTGAATGAACCTGCAAGGAAACAATGTGTAATAAATAGTTTGAAACGTTCAGTCTTTGTGAAATTTTAGTGATGTCCATTTTTTTTATGTCTGAGACACCATGCAGGTGACAAAGCTTTCACTTTCTGCAATGGCCTGCAGCTCCAATCCCTTCTCCAGTTAGGAAACTATAAAAGAAATGAAAGGCTTACTCCTCTGGTGTGATGAGAGTTACAGTGCGGAGACAGTTGTCCTCTGAGAAGGTGTGCTCGTGGAACAGCATCCACTCCGGTAGGCTCGCTTTGGGACCCTTGGCTCTGTAGCTGGAGAGAGGATGGATCTGTGCCACGTGCTTATGGGTCAGAATGAAGTAGTTCCCTGATCCGTCCACATCCCGGGCCACCTGAGGGGGGAATCAGAACCTGAGCAACAATCACTACTTAAGAAAACTTTATTTATTTCATGTACAAAGTATCACACAAACAAAGTCAGATTTAAAAAAATATCTTCTTGATGTTGACTCTAACTCTGTGTGCTGCAACTCTGCAGGCAACAAATCATAAAGAATAGTAACGATGAGCAATTAATCCTCAATTTTAATACAACACAAATCCAACAAAACCTTACCGTCAGATTATTTGATCAAAAATAGTTATAGTGTAATTTCACAGTATTGAAACACACTGTTTAAGTATCTTCAGGAAGCCTGTGTTATGTTTTCATCTGATCAAACATTCTCATCTGACCTGCATAAAGAAACCTGCTAGGAGAGCTCTCTTAATGTTGATGGTGTTGATCCGGGAGCCGAAGGCGGGCGCCGAGACGGGCAGCTCGATTCTCTTCAGAGTATCTGTGAGCTCAGCCCGGAGAGCATCAGCCATCAGCAGAGCTTTGTGGTTCAGGAAGAAATCCTGACACCATTTCTCCTCATTACAGTCTGATAGAGGAGGAGGAGACATCCAATAAATAAACCAGACGTGACAAACAATAAAAACTAGAGCAATTGCATTGCCTGTGAAAATGCAGTGTGAATACTTATTCCACAAGAACTTGCTGAAAGACAGCTGAAGTTAGCTAAAAAATAATAAACATGCTGACATGTAGCTGAAATGGATGAACAAGCCTAAATTAGCAGAAGAAAGCAGAAAGAACATATATTTGTTGAATTAGGTTTAAATAAATAGAAATGAACACAAAAAGTAGGAAAATTAGCTAAAAAGCTTAAATAATTTTAAAAATAGCTGAAAATTAGCTAAAAAGGCTAAAAAAAATTCTTTAATTTACCAGAAAGAATTGGAAAAAGCTGAAATGAGCTAAAAATTTAGAATTAGCTAAAACAAAGCAAAAATTTGCATCAAACAGCTCAATAGTAGCTGAAATATTAGAAAAATATGAAAGGAAAATAACGAGCTGAAATTAGCATAAAAATGTTACTAGGCTGAAAGTAGCAGAAATGACCATGAAAATCTTGAATTTATACGAAAACAGCTAAAATTCTTAGAAAAATGTACAGAAGAAAAATGGATCACAAAAGTGTAAATGCTTCATAAACGTTCACACAATCAGTAAAAAAAAAAACAACAACCCCGATTTTACCATGTGTATCATGGAAACCCCTTAAAATAGCTAATTTGCTTTCAGTTTGTAATATTTTCCATTTCTAAACTCACATGGGTCCTGCTGACACTGTTTGAAGGCCTTGTAGATGTTGATGAGGGTGAAGTGGTCTCCCTCTGGGTGTTGGAACTTCATGTAGCACTGGCTCGCCTCTGGTTTCAGTTCCACAGGGGGAACCGTGAAGCAAGAAGGAGCTGCGGCAAAATCCACAAAATGCACGGGCAGCTTAAAACATAGTCCTTACTCCAGAAATGAGTAGTTGTGCACATTTTGTGCAGATTTCTGTGGAAATGCCTCGTTACCTGTTAGCATGGCAGCGATGATGACCACCTCGCTGACACAGTCAAACTCACAGGAGGCCAGCACAGTTTTGGCCATCTGGGGCTCTAAAGGGAACTCCGACATAATGATGCCCATCTCGGACAGGTTGCCATCATTATCCAGAGCTGCTAGATAATCCAGTTCCTCCAAAGCCTGCATCAAACCTCCAGGATCTGTGTGGAAGAGGGTTTTTTTTTTTTTTTTTGAGGTTGTACATAAATGAATACATAAAATGAACTGGGAATTAAAATCCAGTGCTAAACCCTCAGTTTGAATAGATTTAAAAATATTTAATCTGTGAGATTATTAATTCTGCACAAATACACATTAACTGTCCGCAATCCATGTCCTGACAATCCGGTGGAAATGCTTGGACTAAACATCAGTAGCAGATTAGGAGTTTGTAATCTTCACCAACATCTGCCTAATTCCACCAAGAAAAAAGAAAAATCTTTTCTGCTACAAATGAGTTTTTCTTCTAGCAAACGTAGTTTTCAGTTCAGTTTACGAGGAAAATAACAGAAAAACGAGAACAAAATAAGAACGTTTGTGATCTGTCCACCCAAACAGAAACTCCATCAGGTTTCAAACCCAATCAGCTAATGGGAGGCTCAGAGTGCGTGTGTTTGTGATGTTTGTTTTTGTGTGTGTGTGTAAGAGTGGGGGTGTATAAATCCACAGGAACAAAAGCGCACGGAAAGAGGTCAGCTCTGAAACGATGCTCGCTGAACAAGAGCTGTCGGTTCAGCTGAAGCACGGCTCACTGCCTCCCAATAATACCAAAAAAAAAAGTTCCTGTCTGTTGGACCAGAAGGGAACAACCTGATTGAACCTATTCATTTAGCAGTTTTGCAGATTACATTAAAAAATATTCACCGTTTCTCATATAAATCTCACCTGGCCTGTCAATAAAGTCACACTGTCCCAGTCCGGCTAACTCCATCCTTTTGAGGAAGAGCACAGTGGCGGTGAGGTCAGACTCCACAATACGAGGACGGACCTCTGCAGGAAGCTGCCTCTCCTTTGGGTACAGACAAAAACACTTGCCTACAGGACAGAAAAAAAAAAAAAACAGAACTTTGAGATGGAACAGAAGCCGAAATGAGATTTAAATAAGAAGTGTTTGAAAACTCCTTCACCTGCTGGACCTGCCAGCTGTTTGCGACACTCGCTTTGACCCGCGCTGATGGGCTGGATGACGACGGAGTTTGTTCTGATCCTCGGGTTGTAAATCTGCAACACATTCGCAACAACATTGCTTCATTTATATACACGGGTCTAAAACTGTTATTTAAGTACATTTTACAGTAAAAATGTACGACTCAAACAATAAGAATAAACTCAATTAGATTTCAAAATAAAATAGCCTACAGTAGTCCCTCGCTACTTTGCAGTTCGACTTCTGCGGACTCGCTCTATTGCAGTTTGTAGACACAGTCCATAATATTGTACAAAAAATGTACAGGACACATGATTGTCAACTTTAATATTACTCACGTGATTGGGACAGTACTGGATACAGTACTGTACAGTAAAAAGTTAATGAAATAAATAAAATACTTCGGACAGGTGCCTCCATTTTGTAGTTTTCTCTCGGTAAGCTTCCACTGTATTCCCACTCATAATGACCACATTTCCCAGAAGGTAACAGGGCCCCGCCTAGAAGCCCCATTTCCTTCTGAAAACAACCAAAGGCAAAGTTTTGATCTGATCAAAGCAGAACAAGACTTCTAGACCCATCGGTGAATCGTGAGAGCTTGTAGCCCATCCACGTGGACCTCCGAGTGAATGCTGCGGTCGATGTTCAGTGGGACTTTTTTCATATCTTTCAACCAGCCAACGATGAGCCATCAGCAGATGGGCGCGGCTGTAGGTCCAGTGGTCCATCTGAAGCTCAACAGGACTTTTTCCAACCCTTTCAACTGGCCCACGAGGACCTCTGAGCAGGGACACACTGGTAAGTAAAATTTAGTAGCTACATATAAATATGTTGTTAAAATTTGTAGGTTTAACAGTTTAGATCATTGATTGTGGGCTTTTTTGCTCCAGGGTACGTCTACAGCAGGAGTGAACCCACTTACAAAAGGAAGCCGAAATTAAAACCTTTTTCAAACTAACGGCCGGTTTCAGAAACTACATTAACTCGAGCTAGATACCAAACATCTTTTCTTGTTTGCTGGTTCCTCATCAAGAGTTTGATTGGTCTCATTTGATATTCTCTGTTGCACTTTGGACATCATAATCAAATGTTACTGAAAAAAAATAAAGTGATAAAAGTATTTTACATTTAAAATAACATCTTGGGGGCCAGATAAGATGTTAACCAGGACCACATTTGGCTCCCGGGCCTTGAGTTTGACACATATTTTCTACAGAAACGGAGCAGAGTCAGACCGGAAACTGACTGAGCCGCTGCTCTTCTGCAGAGCCCAATAATATGTTTTTTTTTATATGATGTTTGATATGATGTTATGATATGATATGATGTTTAATATGATGTTTTTCTTAGTTCATATCTTAGATGTTATTACTGTTTTTCTTAGACATTTTATTGTTGGATGTAACTGGGACCCCGTGTACATAATTTCGCTCCACCACATGTACCACATGAGGTGCGAATGACAATAAAGAAACTCTGACTCTCTGACTCTGACTCTGATAAGTAAAATTTAGTAGCTACATATACTGTACTGTATGTATGTTGTTAAAATGACGTATGTTAAAAAGTTTAGAACATTGCAAGAATGTGGGAAGGGTTTCTAAAGCTTTAGTATACATATAAATACAAAAATAAATATAATGTCTCAACTTCGTGCAATTTCAAGTGCGAGTTCAGAATCGAACCCCCGCAGTAAACGAGGGACTACTGTAACCCGAACGCTACTTTAGTCTAAATTATATGTATATTTTAGACTTGAGCTATGCTTTTATCTACCCCTGCTGAAAGCTAAGGTAGTTTGTGTGTGTGTATGTTTGTTTCTCTGTTAGCAAAAACAGCTATACCTCTGAATTTTACAGATACAGAGCTAAAGTTTGGTGTGGTAGTAGCTGAGAGTCATTCACAGCACATAAAGCGTTAACAGATCATGTGAAATCACACAAGATATTTCATGGGATTGTGCGTAATGTTTTTTTTTTTTTTAAGTTTGATCATAACGGCTATCATTTCTCAATGTCTTTTGTTGTCACTCATTAAACAGTCCATAAAGAAACATGGACACACGTACATATCTTTTCTCAAGCCCAGCATCAATAACAAAGCTTATTGAGCTAACAGCCCAGAAGAAGTCCTCGTTCGGGCTGCATGTGAGGAACACTCTTCGTGTCTCCTGCTCCTCCTCCCCTAAAACCTGTAGAGTCCCAGGCTGGCCGGCGTGCACAGCAATCGGCAGCAGCTCCCCCCGATCAAATGTCGAGCTGCGGGCCTCATGGCACAGGATGTCGCGGGCCAGGTCTATTTCCTGATGGAAGATAAATGAACAAGAAAACTCTGAGATGTGACTCTTTTTAATCAGACTTCAGATTTTCTGATTGTATCGTGTTGCTTTTTACCTGTGCTGTCACCAGAAACACAACCACATCCCCCCGCTCGTCAGAGCGGTGGATCTCCAGCACAAGACGGAGAGAAGAGCAGAAGTAGTTGTCACCGGTGCTGCTGTGCACCACCTTCCCCACACCGGGGGCATCCAGGTGGATCACTGGCAGTGGGGACCCGGTGAAGAGTGCCAGCTGCTTGGGGCCAGGTTCAACAGCTGATAGGAGGATCACATGGAACTCTGGCCTCTGCAGGGCGATGCCCTTCAACAGACCCAGGAGCACATCGGTGGCCACAGTCCTCTGGTGGGCCTGATCCACCACCACCACACCGTAGCGCTCAAGCAAAGGATCTGACATCATCTCTCTAAGGAGCATGTCATCTGTGCAGTACCTGGGTTGATAAAATAACACCTGTTATTATTACTGGTAAACAATACTGTGAATGCTTATGAAGCATTCACACTCTTGTAATCCTGTTTATATTTATTATTGATACTTTTTCTATTCCATACTTTCTTCGGCATTTATTTAATTCTGCAATTTTTGTGCTATTTCAACAAATCATAAATCAAAATGTTCAGCACTTTCAGGACAATCCTGATATGACTTGTGGTATTTGTGCAACTTTAGCTTTTTGAAACATTTAGCCTTTTCAGATATTTTTTTCTCAAAGAAAATGAACTGAGCTCATTTTATATCCTTCAACTCTTTAGATCTGTTTACAACCTTGTACTGCTCCTTTCACATTTTGTTCTGATTAACCTTCAGCTTTATTGTGCAATTGGGGAAAAAAAATCAGCTACTTTCAGCATATTTCGGCTGTTTTTTCCAGCTGTTTTGTGCCCCTTTCTGCTTTATTTAACTACAACAGTTTTGGACTTCTAACTTATTTATGCTAATTTCAGCTTGTTATGCTCTTTAAAGCTTATTTCTGCTATTTCAGCTACTATTTAGCTGTTTTATGGTAATTTGAGCCTTTTCAGCTAATTCCACATTTTTTGCACTCGTTTAAACTTTTTTTTTTAGCCTAATTCAGCAAAGAATGTGCTCTCTTCACTTCCTTCTGGTAATTTAAGCTTCTTTCTGCCTTTTATTATTATTTTTTTTTAGCTATTCAGCTTTTTGTTTTATTGTTGTTGTTGCAAATTTCAGCTTTATTCAGACAGTTTCTACAATTTTGTGTTATGTTTTGCTTCTTTCAACCTAACTGGGCAAAATTATGCTCTCTCAACTTCCTACTGGTTATTTCAGCTTCTTTCAGCTATTTTAGCTACAGTTAAGGTGATTTTTTTTCTCTCTAATTTTTGCTTTCCCCCCTGATAATTTCCACTTTTTGTGCTAATTTCTGCTTCTTGAAGCCTAATTGGGCACAATTGTGCTCCCTCCACTTCCTTCTGGTAATTCAGGCTTCTTTCTGCCATTTCAGCTTTCAGCCATTTCTTGCTAACTTCAGCTTTTTTAAGCTAATTTACTGATGCTTATGCTCATTTCTGCCTATTCAAACCAAATTAAGCAAATATGTGTTCTTCCTGCTTTCTCCTTCTAAGCTAGTTCTTCCATTTCAGCTACATTTCAGCATGTTTTAGCTCATTTCAGCTGTTTTTCAGCAAGTGCTTCTGCATTAAGCATTCACACTGCATTTTTGCCGGAATTGCCATTTCTTTAGTTTAAACTAAAGACACACGAGTAAGTTTGAAAACTATTTTGAAAGTATTTTAATGAAAAGCTTCACTGAAAAAAATCTACATGACATCTTAATGAACGCTACTTTACCATTTCAGCTTTGATTGTGTAATTTACTATAATTAGTCTTTTAGATAGATGGGGGTTTGAGAGGGTTTGTGTCCACCTGTTTATGAGTTCTCCCTCCCCTCAGTGTGAGCTTCTTTGTTCCCCAGCTAACTTATGAAATACCCCCATGGTGAGTGTGACATATGGGTCGACAGGGAGCCGGGCAGCTGTGGTGGAGCCACTGAAAAGAGCCCTTCAGTTCTTTTGTTCCCTGTTCTCTTGAGAATTAACAACAATAAAAAAAAAGTGGGGTGATTTAGCAGTGTGTGTCACAACCGTGCATTGTTGCAAGAGGGGAGAAAGAGTCAGAGAAACCAGGTCCATATCTGTTTATAGAAGTATTATAGAATTATATTATAGAATTTTGTCCTACCTGAGGATAGTGTCATCGGAGCAGCATGTTTCTAAAGGGATGGTGTACCCGACTTCATGGCCAATGTTGACGTCCATCTCATCAGCCACTTTTAGGGCGAGATCTACTGCCTGCTGTGGATGAATCTGAGTGCAGACCACCATACCATGCTGGAACTGGGTTGACAGGCAGAATTCAGCACACCACTGAGGAATCTATGAATAAAGAGTGTAACAAAAATGTTTGATTTGATAAACATCTAAATAATTTTATGATCCTAAATCCACTCACTTGAGAGCTCCTTCCACTTTTAGCAAAGCCGCTGACAACCACAAACTGTCCTTTGGCCAAGGAGTCCATAAATTCACCCTTTGCTCTCCACACTGGGAGCTCTTTCCTCTCTTCCAGCAGCTTGTAAAACCTAGAGGAGTAAGGCAGTCCATCAAACTGATTGAGCTCCAAGATGTCATCATAATCCTTGTCGCCTTGACTCGCAGCGTCTGAGTCTGAGCAACAGGGTGATTTCTCCTCAAAGCAGTCCTCTCCACTTAAACTCGAAACGTCCTGTGCCATCGCAGATGAGCTCCCAGCCAGCCTGCTCTCCTCTTCATTTACAGATCCACTCAAATTAAAATGAATTTGGGGAATCTCCAGCCCTCAGTGAACTGGTTCTACAGCAGCCCTGAGACCGCTCCTGCAAGTCGAGGCAAAGTGAAAGGCTCTCTGGGAGCCCAGCCCAGTGTTGTCATGTGGCCACTAATCTCCACAGTTGTGCAGTCATCAACAGAACACACACACACACACACACACTCTCTCTGGTGTGAGCAGGAGTGGATTTGCAGAGACCCAGGGGATCTGGTGTTAACAATGGACATTGGACTATAACAACCACAACAATCTGTGCAGAGAGTAAAACACATTTTTGTCAGCTTAATGGGATTGAAGTTGAATATTAAAAAAGATTTCTAAACATCAGAAGTACTGATAAATCTTGTAGCTAGTAAAAACACTGAAAAAAAAAGCAAGAAGAGGTATTTTTAAATAAAACTGTAAGAACTTGGACTCATTATTTACAATGTTATATTTAGACGAATAAAATCCACAATTTTGGGACTGCTTTTATTTATTAATTTTTTGTAGATTTTTGGTTTTTAACCTTTTTGACTACAGCCTTGAAATTCATAGTTAACGTTCCTATTTGGTTTGCACAGAGGAGTGATTTTTGTTGTTTTATTTACCAACTCATGTGTAGTGGACTAAGCCTACGTCGGAACCCAGTCTAAGGTCAAAACTCTTGACCTTTAGAACCTTGTGGGACAGAAGCTGTCATTTCATGTATTTGACTCCATAAATACAGGTTCACCCATCCTGAGACTTTCTTTCTTGAAGATTCAAGTGAAAAGAACACTCTCTTTTTATTATCATTACTATCTTACAAATGTTGATAATCAAAGTGTCTTAGTTCAAACCATTTTAGATGTTGCAGTGAACTAATCAATTTTATTAACTGAGTAATGATTTTATTCTCATGTTAAAAGCTGTGGCAGAGTAATTATGCATTTCTCTGATTTCTGCTTTTGAATGAGCAAGTGTGTGCGTTCCAAGGTTGGACTCAAACGAAAAACAAGTTGTTATGTTAAAACTGTCATGTTTTAGAATCCTCTCAGACGTAAATAGAGATGTTTTGCACCTGTTTCTTAGACACGTCAAAACAGAACGCTCTCGGTCTCTGAGAACATTTCTGAGCTGTCTCATAACAATTCTCGCTGTCTCTAACCTCTTACGTCACAAAAACACACCCCTTCTGGTCGTTCCTGACCAATGAAAAATCCCAAAAAGTGAACCGGGAAAGAGTCTTTAAAATGTCAGTACTTCCTGGTCTACACAGACTCACAGGGACACGGAGAGACACACAGTTACAGAGTTGGAGAGTTGTCAGACTTCAAGAGTTCTGTGGGAGTTCTGTAAACTACACGAGAGCTAAAGTTCTGATGGAGTGCTGTTGGAGTTCCTGACATGACAACGAAGCTCTTCCGAGTTCCATGGGATTATAACATTTTCCACTGAGGTGAATGTGTGTCGAACAGAGCCTCGCCACTACTTCTGACGGGCAACAGCCATTCTAAGGAGACGCTGGACCGGTAGCGTTAACGGAACACCATATCTGCTGATTATCATCAGAGAGGTAATGGGTCAAGTTTCCTACCAAGCGTACCGAGGCGAGCTGGGCTTCTGATGGAGAGTGTCGGTTCTGGCGAACATTCCTCCCCTCCCATTCAATCTTAACTCCCTCTAAACTTCTTCCCATCTTTAAACTTTTCTATCAAGTAGAAATTCTTCCAGATATTTAGAAATGTCTGTGTAAAATGCTCACCCACATTCATGTGGGCAAAAGATCATAGTTGTACAGTTTTATAAATGTCTGTGGTGCAGCAACGGAAAAATCATGGCCGTATGATTTTTCTGATTGATTGCTTATATTGTTATTTTCATAATTTGCCAAATTAATGTAAATGTTTGATGTTAAATTTGATTCTGTAAATAAATGACCGCATTCATTTTGATGGGTCAAATTTAAATGACGTCTCACTTTGCATTTCCTTAAATTCAGTGCACGTTTTATTCAGTCCAGAAAAATGAGGAACTCGCGTTAAATGATGAATATATCAGAGCATCTGTTCATCTACACATGGAAGTAACTTGACAAGTTTTTATTACACTGCCTTGCCAAAAAAAAAAAAGAAGTCACCAACTGGATTTAACTAATCAAACAGCTACGAGCCTCCTATTGGATAATTACTGCATGGGCGATTATCTTTCAGCTGACAACAAGTTATTTAACCCCAACTGGTGCAATGAGTTGCTTCTCATTTCTTAAACAACCATGTTGAAAGACACATCGCGTGGTCGTGGAAAAGATATTGGTCTGTTTTGAGAATGGTCAAATCACTGGCATCAAGCAGAGAAAACATCTAAGGAGATTGAAGAAACTACTAAATTTGGGTTAAGAACTGTTCAACGCACTATTAAAAACTGGAAGGATAGTGGGGACCCATCGTCTTCGAGGAAGGAATGTGGATGGAAAAAAATCCTGAATGATCGTGATCGACGATCACTTAAACATCCATCCATCCATCCATCCATCCATTTTCTTTACCCGCTTATTCCATTTTTGGGTCACGGGGGTCGCTGGTGCTCATGTCCAGCAATCACTGTGCGAGGGGCGGGGTACACCCTGGACGGGTCGCAAGTCCATCACAGGGCCACGTAGAGACAAACGAGACAAACAACCATTCACTCTCTCACTCACACCTAGGGACAATTTAGAGTTACCAATCAGCCTAACATGCATGTTTTTGGACTGTGGGAGGAAACCGGAGTACCCGGAGAAAACCCACGCATGCACGGAGAGAACATGCAAACTCCACCCAGAAAGGCCCCTGGACCGGGGTTTGAACCAGGGACCTGCTCAGCTCTACCAGTTGCGCCACCGTGCTGCCCCCTTTTAAACATTTGGTGAAATCAAATCGAAGAAAAACAAAAGTAGCACTCAGGGCTATGTTTATTAGTGAAAGTAAGAGCATTTCCACACGCACAATGCGAAGGGAACTCAAGGGATTGGAACTGAACAGCTCTGTAGCCTTAAGTAAACCACTAACCAGTGAAGCTAACTGGAAAAAAAAAAGCTTCAATTTGCTAAGGAGCATAAAGATTGGACTGTAGAGCAATGGAAGAAGGTCATGTGGTCTGAGTCCAGATTTACCCTGTTCCAGAGTGATGGGTGCATCAGGGTAAGAAGAGAGGCAGGTGAAGTGATACACCCATCATGTCTAGTGCCTAGTCATCAATGCAAGATCTTGGTGAAAAATTAATGCAACACTGGATGGAAATAGATGTTGTGACATTGCAGAAGTTTATCGAAACAATGCCACAGCAAATGCATGTCGTAATCAAAGCTAAAGGCAGTCCAACGAAATATTAGTGTGTGACCTTTTTTTTGGTGGTGACATTTTTTTGGCCAGGCAGTGTATATCTCTATGTCTCTATGTCTATCTCAGTTTCTGATGGAGGACATTTGCAAACTGAGGTGTACCACAAACCCTCCCACACAGACCAGTATTTGCAGTTTGACTCGTGCCATCACCCTCTGGAGCACAAGTTAGGAGTCATCAGGACTCTGTACCACAGAGCAAACAATGTCCCCACTAACCCGGGAGTCAGGCAGAAGGAGAAATCCCACACAAGACAGACTCTAGAGAAATGTGGATATCCTAACTTGTCCTTCCTGAAAGCAGAGAAGAAACCCAAACGTGACTCCAGCGGTCACTTGTCACTGCCACCTGCATCATGAAGGACCCCACTCACCCAGCACACACACATTTTGCCCCACTCCCCTCAGGCAGAAGGTTGAGAAGCATTAAGTGCAAAACCTGTAGGCTGAGGAACAGCTTCTACCCTGAGGCTGTTAGACTCATGAGTCAGGATAATCACTGTGAAAAAAATCACTGTAATGCCACTTGATTGATGATATGTGCTGCTGACTATCCATGACGCTGATCTCATGCTGCTGATTTATTTCATGCTGCTGTGTTCATTCGTACTCATCTGCTCACACAGACTCATGTTCGTGCTGCTGTTACTTTGCACTTTGTTTTGTGCTACTAGTGCTTAGAGTATTCTTAGTTTAGCATATTTCTTAGTTCATATCTTATATCTTATTACTGTTTTTCTTTAAAATTTATACTTTTGTTAGATGTAAATGGGACCCTGTGTACATAGTTTTGTCCCACCACATGTGATGTGAAAGACAATAAAGAAATCTTGACCTCGACTCTTTCAGGGATGAAGATGTTCACATCCTTGATAGAGAGGAACAATGGTTTGAGAGAGGAGTAAAGGAGGCCATCTTTGTGAAAAGAAACTGTCCATCAATAAACATGGGTGGAGGCCTCCGTGTTCAACTGTCCCCCTCTTACAATGCTCTTATTGCTAGTATCAATCAGCCCCCTGTGAATAGCAAGCAGCCGTCAGGGCACTAGTGATCCATTGTTAGGCTGATGGTTCATGTGCACAGCTAGTTTTGGATGTCAACAAGAAACTGGTTGAGTCACTATGAGACGGGGCCATCTGTAAGACTGAGCTTGTTGTAGACTGACAAAGTCTTTTGGATTAAACACGAAATGTTTCAACAAGTTTTTTTAATTTTTTGAATATGTCCAGAGAACCTGACTTAACTTTGTTAGATCTCTGTTTTGTTTCACTACCAGTGTTGTTTGTTTTGTCAACAAGTAAAACAAATAAAGAAGCAAAACCCCTAAAGTACTGGTTGGCTAACACCTAGCTTATTGTAACTTAAAAGAAAACAAGCAGCCAAGATTTTTAAATGTATTTATTTATTGACCTGCAGAGCACCAATTAGAGCTGTCGCTTCAGAGGAAGGTCACGGGTCACAGCTGCAACCTTTCTGTGTGTGGTTTGCATGTTCTCCCTGTGCATGTGTGGGTTTCACCCTGCAGCCCAGAAACATGCATGCTGGGTTAATTGGTAACTCTGATTGTCACTGGGCAATACGGTGGCGCAGCTAGCAGAGCTGCCGCCTCTCAGTGAGAAGGTCGCAGGATCAAATCCTGGCCAGGGGCCTTTCTGGGTGGAGTTTGCATTTTCTCTCCGTGCATGTGTGGGTTTTCTCCGGGAACTCCGGTTTCCTCCTACAGACCAAAAACACGCATGTTAACCTGATTGGTAACTCTAAATTGTCCCTGGATGTGAGTGAGAGTGAATCGTTGTTTGTCTCTATGTGGCCCTGTGAAGAACCAGTGTCCCCCACCTCTCGCACAGTGACGGCTGGATATGGGCACCAGTGAACCCTGCAACCTGAAAAGGAAGAAATGGGCAAAAAGATGATGGATGGATGTGGCTCTGTGACAGAATGACAACCTATATAAATATATAAATAAAAGAAAAAGACTACTGTATTGTTGCGTTAGTTAAAGTAATGACTCTTATTGTCCAGCAGGTGGCAGTGCCATCTTTATGATGGCATGATAATGGAGCAAAATGTACATTTTCTTTCCTTTTTTGAATTTAATTCTGCCTGATGTCGATAAATCAGATTTTAAAGTATCATATGTTACAGCAGAATGAGATGAAAATAAAATGAAACAGTTGTTTTATTTATTTTTTTTCCAAACCATAATAAAGAAACTTTTATTTGGCTCTGATTTCAAGTCTGGCTTAGAAGCGATATAAATGCCACTCGGTATAAATAGGACACAGACTTAAAGACATTCTTACATTTCTGTGCTTGTAGGAAAAACATAATAACCGAACGGACACTATATACACTTTACAGTGACTTAAAGCATGTTACGGTAAGAATATGGTAAACATTGTGCACAACTTACAAATGGCTTAAACATTTAACATGATAAGTTTCAACAAATACTTTCCAACAAAGAACCATTAGTTGGACCGTTTGTTACATCTGAGCACCTCATGGACAAGAAAAGCATCACGGCACGTTTTATTATTTTGCACACAAACGATGCAGGGCCTCACTGACTTTGATCATTCTGCTGGGAGCTTGCATTTTACAGAAAATGCTCCAGAGTCTAACTCTGAACTCTCATTCGAACAAAAAAACACTGTAAGTGCACGGACAAACAGCCAAGCAACACAAAACAAAACAAAAAAACAATAAACAAACAGGACAACAGAAACAACAAAACATTTTGTTGGACACCGCTGACGCTCGTGCGCCCAGAGACGAAGCGAGCGTGGATGTTAAACACACAAACATCAGCGTTAATATTGATTTATTTGGCGTCTATGAAATTCTCTGGAACACAATCAATCCGTCAAATCCACCGACACTCTGCAGCTTCTCCGGCGTCAGGAGAACGTGTTCGGAACATGCTCCGAGGCGTACGTCAGCGCCGGGCTGTCGTGCGTGAAAATCTGAGCTTATAAGGAATTAGGAAGCCTCACTGGGAGACTATAAAATCAGCCAATCAAGTTAATCCCATAAACATAAGAAAAAAAAAACAACCCACTAACACTTTGTCTGTTCCAGCTTTATGTTGTAAACTGTAGTTCAATTTTATTTTTAAGCACCATGGCAAAAAAAAAAAGAAAAATATTTTTATAATGAAGACAGTAAATCACATTAAATAAAACTGCCTCACCAGCTACAAGTTGAACCCTGACTTGTGCTGTAGTTCCCTTTCCTTCATTAAAATCCCAACTTTTTTTTTTGCAGTGCCGTATCTCAAGCAATTGTTAGTAAAAAAAAAAACTATATATATGCATTTTCTCAGTTTTGAGAAAACAGTATAAAATCACTAAGGATCATTAAAAAAAAAAAGAAGTTGAAAACAACACAAATTTTCCTTCCTTTAATTAAAAACAAACCGTTTTCTTCTTTCTTTGTAAGTTCCTTCTGTGCATGAACCGGCAAGGTAAATAATTTAACCGATAAATAGTTCATTGGTACCTGAGCGAGGACGACAAGGCGCCTTCAGGAGGCGAAGCACCAAGAGATGATGTTCGTCCCCTTTTCACTGCAAACTGTGACTCATCCTTGTCTGAAAGGTCCAACAGAGTCTCAGGAATTAGTGCAAAACAAGAAAGTTTTAGTCATTTGTTGGGTTTAAATCATCCCATCCGTCTCTGATGCTGGGAGCTCAGCAGTCCCTCGGAGTCTTTGGAGGTCTGTAGGGCAACGCTGGTACAGGTCTGCAAGAGACAAGGACAGGGAGCCATGACAACACTGCAGATCAAAACAACCAGGCTCCTACTGGTAGTTATTGTGGGAACGCTTCTGAAGCATTCACACTGTTGTGGTCCCCGTACGTTTTTCTGCATCTTTCTCGTCCCGCAGTTTTCAAGCTTTTTCAACAAATTATGTATCAAAATGTTCATCTCTTTCAGGAAAATCCTACTTTGACTTGGAGGTGGTGCAACTTTAGCTTTTTGAAATATTTAACCTTTTCTGCCATTTTTTTTTTCCTCATAGAAAATAAATAATAAATCTCATTTTACGTCCTTCAAATCTTTAGATCTGTTTACAATCTTTTACTGCTCCTTTCACTTTTTGTTCTGGTTCAGCTTCTTTCAGCTTCCTTGTGCAAATTAAAAAAAAAAATAATCAGCTACTTTCAGCTGTTTTTTAAATTTTCCCAGCTGTTTTGTGCTCCTTTCAGATTATTTCTGATACCTACAACATTTCTGTGCTTCTTGTAACTTATTTCTGCACGTTTCAACTTGTTCTGCTATTTCAGCTACTATTTAGCTATGCTTATGCTAATTTTAACTTTTTCTGCTAATTCCACATTTTCTTCACCCAATTAAACTATTTTAAGCCTAATTAAGCAAAACTGTGCTCTCTCTACTTCCTTCTGGTGATTTAAGTTTCTTTCTGCCCTTTTAGCTACTTTTTAGCTGTTCTCTTGTTTTTTGGAGGGGGGGGGGTCTGCTTTTTTCAGATAATTTCCACTTTTTGTTCTAATTTTTACTTCTTTCAGCCTAATTGGACAAAAATGAATTATTTCTGCTTCCTTCTGCTAATTTAAGCTTGTTCTACATTTTCAGCTACCTTTTTAGGTTTTGTTTAAGCTAATTTCAGCCGTTTTCAGATGAATTCAAGCTCTTCGTGGTAATTTATGCTACTTTCAGCCTAATTAATATTTTTATGCTAATTTCAGATTGTTATGCTCCTTTCAGTTTTGTTCTGCTAGTTTCAACTTTTTCTGCTATTTCAGCTACAATTTAGCTATTTTATGCTAATTTTAGCTTTATCAGCTAATTCCACATTTTCTTCACTCATTTCAACTATTTTCTGACTAATTCAACAAAACTGTGCTCTTTCTATGTCCCTCTGGGGATTTAAGCTTCTTTCTGCCTTTTAAGCTACTTTTCAGCTGTTTTTTCGTTTGTTTTTTTGTTGCCAATTTCAGCTTTTTTCAGATAATTTCCACTTTTTTCCTCATATTTGCTTCTTTCAGCCTAACTGGGTAAATGTGCTTTCTGCTTTCTTCTGCTAATTTCAGCTTGTTCTACCTTCTCAGCTAGCTTTTTAGCTTTTTATGCTAATTTTAGTTTTTTCAGCTATTTATTTTTAGCTCATTTCAGCTCTTTCCACATCCTTCTGGTAGTTGAAGATTCTTTATGACTTTTCAGCTTCTTTTCAGCTACTTTTTGCTAATTTCAGCCCCCCCCCCCTTTTTTAATAGCTAATTTCCTAATTTTTGTGCTCTTTTCTGCTATTTACACCAAATTCTGCAAATATGTGTTCTTGCTTCTTTTTTCTGCTAACTTTAACTTGTTCTACAGTTTCAGCTACATTTTAGCATGTTTTTAGCTCATTTCAGCTGTTTTTTAATAGCAAATTCAGCAGTAAGCATTCACACTGAATTTTTGCAGAAAAAGCAACTTCTCTAGTTTTTGTTTCATGTCTAGTTTATATTTATAGCAAAACCCGATTTTCAAAAAGTCTGAGAATTAAATTTTCTGGAATAACTACAAAACATTCAACCTAAATCTCTTCCAGTCACGCTCGAATCAGAGCTTAATATGTTGGTCACATGTACGAACTCGTCTTGTTTATCTAAATACGTTGGCAGAGTTTCTAGGTCAGACGTACTGTAGCTCCAACATGCTAAGCCTTCTGAAAACATGTCACGTTTTCATTATAAGGCTCAGAAATATAAACTGTTTACACCACTTTAGAGGCTTGTTTAACCGTAAACACTGCAAAACATTGTTTTTTTTTTACACAAAGTGCATAAAAATGGGCAAAAATTAATAAATCAAAACAAAAAGTAAACACATTTTTGTACAATTATCAGATTCCCACTTCTGATACTGTATATGGTTAAAATGATGGGGTCTTCTGTTGGGATGCACAGACCTGTTGGGTAAGTGGATGCTGGGTGGAGGCCTGGGCACTTTGGGGATGGGTACTGGGAGAGCTCCAGCCCCAGCGATGTGGACCCCTCCTGCTGAGGCACAGTGACCCAGTCGAGAGCTCCTTCCTAACGGATCCGCAGGTAGCGGTTTCTGTGGTGGACTAGGCTTCTCAAAGTCCTGAGAAGGGAAATAAAATTCAGTCTTTCTGCTCAATCCCTCCATCTGTGCTGACTTTTCTTTTTGCAATCTCACTACGAGAAACTTGAATAAAACTTTGTGCTTGTCTGTTTGGATTAGTTGTGTTTTGGCTGTCTGGACCCAAAACACCCATTTCACTAGAGGGCAGTGTGTTATCAGTGTTTCCTCTGAATAGGACAGCAAACATGAGATAAACCTCCAGCTCGCTCCTCCATCACCTCTGTGGCAGCTCTGTGTGAGTGGAGAAGGTTATCTGGATGAGGCGCCGTTGTGTGTTACTAATCTACATGACCGGTTTTTCTTCATACACCTGCATGGCTGCAGTTAAAAAAGATCCTCGCCTGTTTCTTATAAAAAATAAAAAAGTATTTCTGTGCATCACATAAGGTCCATTTATTTGCAGAGTTTTGCGCAGGAGACCTTTACCCGTCTGTGCAGACCCTGACTTTAACCCACCCACCACCTAGATGTGTTGGAAAAGCCAACTGTGAGTCAGACCTTATCGGTGGGTATTTTGTGGCTGAGTGGGTGGAGATCCCTGCAGGCAGGAGACCTTTAACTCCCCCACACTTTGGCCACATAAAGGAAGCTAATGTGTTGTTGAACTTTGAAATAAAGCAACGTCTGGGATGAAACCACTTAATTTTTTTTTTTAATTATGGAACAGCCAACTTATTTTTCTTTATTGAGCCAAGTAACATTTTCATATTTAAAATGCCCAGAAAATAAAACAAATCTACATGTCACGTCTAGACTGGACTATTGCAATGGTTTGTTATCTGGGTGTCCAAATACTTCTTTAAAAAGTTTTCTGTTAATCCAACATGCTGCTGCCAGAGTCTTAACTGGAGTTAGTAGGAGACATCATATCTCTCCAGTTTTATCTTCTCTCCACTGGCTCCCTGTCAAATCCAGAATTTAATTAAAAAATCTTACTTCTAACCTACAAAGCCCTCAACAACCTAGCTCCATCTTATATTCAAGATCTTATTGTTCCATATTTTTCTAACAGAGCAATTTCCTCTCAGACTGCAGGCTTACTTGTGATTCCTAGAGTTTCCAAAAGCAGAATGGGAGGAAAATCTTCCAGTTATCAGGCTCCTCTCTTGTGGAACAAACTTCCAGTTTCTGTCTGTGAGACTGACACATTGTCCAGTTTTAAGACTGGACTTAAGACTTTCCTTTTTGATGAATCCTGTAGTTAGAATTGGGTTATTATGCTGCTATAGGCTTTGATAACTGGAGGACAAATTGACCTCATTTCCTTAAATGAATTGTTAAGATTGAATAGTTTTTATTTGATACTATTTCTACCTTAACATGTGATTCTTGACCTGCCATTGTGTATCTGTTCCTACCAAACCCAGCTGGTTAAAGTAGATGGCCGCTTGTCCTAAGCCTGGTTCTGCTAAAGGTTTCTTCCTCATGAGGGAGTTTTTCCTTTCCACTGTTGCCTTCATTCTTTCTCAAGATGAGAGTTCTGTGATGGAGTTAAACTCAAAGCAGTCTGCTCCTCAGATAAATAATGTTAAATTATTATTTTTATATATCAATGTTTCTGTTCAGTGCCCTGAGACGACTTCTGCTGTGACTTGGCGCTATATAAATAAACTGAATTGAATTTCTTCCTATGAATAATTGGCAGCTACCATAAAACACAGACTATTGTGTCTGTGTGTCCATTTGTTTGTCTGTTAGCAAAATATTTTTTGATGAAAAAAAATGGTGAACGATTGGATTCAACTGAGTTTAAAGATGGATGCCACACCAAACGAACACGGCAAACACAAAAATGATTATAACGTAGTTACTTTTATAGATATCAAACTCATATTTGGTGTTCTAGCTGTGAGTCGGGTAGCACGGTGGCGCAATCTGTAGAGCTGCTGCCACTCAGCGAGAAGGTTGCCGGTTCAAATCCTGGTCTGGGTGGAGTTTGCATGTTCTCTTCGTGCATGCGTGGGTTTTCTCCAGATACTCCGGTTTCCTCCCACAGACCTAGATGCATTTTTTTCTATGAATGGTATTTTTTTTAAACAAAGGCATGCTCTTAAATAGCACAAAAAAAAGGCTTCTGAGCCCCTTCAGAAATATTTAGAGATACTTGTTAAAAAAAGGCAATAAAAAACTACTAGGATTTGTTATAAGAAGAAGTAAAAAATTGTACAAATGTTAATAGTAGACTCTAACCGAGGGGAAGCCGAGTAGCCTCATAAGTGAGAAAAATACATTTTATAACCTGAACATGGTCTGTGTTTTGCAGAAAAAAAGCTGTTTCCACTTAGTTACACACAAAAAAAGCCTCCTAAAGTTGTGATTTAAAAAAAAAAAATCAGGCCGAGCTCCATCATCTGCACAGCAGGCTTGTTTCTCCTCTACATCCACAGTACGGTGAGAATGGAGGGGGAATAAAAGATAAACAGTAATCCAGCTCGAGAACTTTGTTGGAATATTACCTTAAGCAAACACTGTCCACAGTGTAAAAGGAAATCTTTAAAATCTAAAAGTTGAATCAAAAATCAAGATGCAGACTGATAGACGGAGCCACGTTAATTTAATAATCCAGGACCAGATTTGCTGACTTGGTGAAAAATCACCAAATAGAAAATGTGTTCTTATTCAAAATGAAGAACGACGTTGTGCTCTGAATCTATACAAACACCTTTCATAACCAGAAGCACAGAAAAAAAAATCATTGTCTACACCAAAACGTTTCGTTTACTTAATTTTCATGTGGTCCAATCTTCTTTGGAACTGCACCTGAATAAGGTTACAGCTTATTTACCTTATAGTTACTCAACACTGAGCCCGTTATCTTAATAATTTTTTTAAATTTTCACTTAAACAAGACAATAAAAACACATCTGCTTTGGAATATTCTCTGCTCCTCTATACACAGTTCTCCTTTCACTGTGAGAAAGACTTCGTTCCCCTGGAAACGCCCTGGTACCGGTGGGGAGCAGAGAGTTCGAAGACATTTCAAATAAGACCTTTCGACACAGACAGCAGGGGCGCTTGTGCCAAATATAACAACAAGCCTGCAACACACCCTTAAAGAACGGATGGCCCGTATGTCCGTGCTGACCTGCTGTTAAATACCAACAGAATCCCCTCTTCTGTTTCTGACCTGCACACGTCGTCCTGATCCACCCGCTCCATCCGTTTCAGTGCAGCAAAACTGGCCAACAGGTATCTGTTTTGTTTGATAAAATATTTAATTAAAGCTCCAAATGATTAAAAGACTAGTGGAACGTTTAAATTTCAATCCACCTCCCCCACTGTTGTCGCAAGGTAAAAACTTTCAGATCTACTACTATTCTCTGTTAAAAGTCACTTTATAAAGAGTTTACAGCTTTCTTAAAAAAAAAAAAAAAAAAAGTTGCAGTCGCCGAGGTTGCTTTTAGAACACACTTTTAAAATCTAGCAACATTTGACGCCCCTCCCTCCCCCATTCTGCACAAACTCCCACAGTTCGAGTTTCTCTGCTGCTCCGCTCGCAGTACAAAACCTTCACCTACCGAACACTAACGGTGCATTGCAAAATAAAAGCAATTTGATTTCATTCAGTAAATCATCTGTTCCGAAATGTTTAAAGTGTTGCCTTAATTAAAAAAAACAAAAAAAAAAAAACATATATATTTTTTTAAAGAACATGCAACATAGTGGAAAACACACCCCTGTCCCATTTTTTCCAAATGTTTCGCTGGGTGTCAAATGCACAGAATAGCAAATATTTTATTAAAGAACAATTATATTGACATATTAACTTTCTATCTTGCTTTAAAAACATTTAAAGTAAATAATAACGCTTATATTTAATGAATTCCTGTTAGTTCAACATCCTTATTAAACATAAATGTACATTTTTAGATGACTTTATGGCTAAAGATGCCCGCTTGAATTTAATTTTAATTTAATTTAATTTACTCTTGGTAGTCTCATTGAGTCATGAGAACTCATTTTCAAGAGAGACCTATATAATAATAATAATAATATAATAATTCATATCAAAGATAAATACAACACAGAACTGGTGTGGTGTCTGCTGGCCTCTGGGTCACTCGCCCCCTTCCTTCACATCTGCAGTTATGTTCTGTTCCCTCTCCATGTCACAAATTTATGCCTTCCTGTTCTTTTGGACAAGTTTCCTGTGCACCCTGCTGAAGCTCACAAAGCGCTGACATCTTGCACAGGTCTCCTTGCTGTGCCGGTACAAGAGCGGGTCAGGATTTGGACATACCACCTGAGCAGACGGATGGATTTACTATCTCCACTGCTCCCATACCACCGGATCAGCAGAAAGCAGCACCTTAGTCAGGAGCCGGGTCACAGGGAGGGAGACAGATTGAATTTGGCTGTCGATATTTGGGCAAGAGAAGCGTCTGCAGTGGGTTTTGTAAGCCAACACTTTTCTACAGGCTTTAAAAATGGCTGCACAGGTGGCAGGTCTTGGGTCATTAAGTATAATTTGAACATTTTACATTCCTGCCAGCCATTTGAACAGAGCCCATAACTTTTCAGATTGATTTCTACCTTTCAATCCACTGATTTGAGTGAATTGCAATTAAATTAAATTGTGAGTCTGGAAATGTGCCTGATTTGGACGATTTATTCATCTGCTTCATTTAAACTTCATGGAGCGTTATTAAAACTTTGCGTTTATAGAAAACAACATGAGCGTGTCAAAAAAAAAAAAAAAAAAAGACTTTAGGGACTTTTGGTCCAGTTGGTGGCTGTGTCTGTGTGCATGAAAGAACTCAGTCTTCATTTTTAAAAGCCAAAATGGAAGGCTTGGAAAAACTAAAATTCTTAACTGAAAGCAAATGTCACCTGCTGAGGAAAAAGTAGTTTTAGCTGAGATGTCAGTGTGTCCTTAAATCACAAAGATTTACTTGTAATGGAATTTTCAATCAAAAAAGAAACACCTGAATGATTAGGGAGGACAAGTTTAAGCAAATCCCAATTATTGACAAGCTAAACGATTGCCTTTAAAAATGTATATTGTTTTTAAATTAACGTTTGCATAAATGTAAATCGAGGGTAATGTGCAGTAAAATACAATTTCAATTTAATGGGCTACAATAAATGATCCACTAGTATTCAACATTTTTCAGTCAAGTCATCTGGACAGTTTCTTTTTTTTTTTTTTTTGGTGCTGAAACGTTTCACCTTCCATCCGAAAGGCTTCGTCAGTCAAGGTGTCAGTCAATTGTTATTTTGATTCCTTGACTGATGAAGCCTTTCGGATGGAAGGTGAAACGTTTAAAAAAAAAAAAAACTGTCCAGATGACGTGACTGAAAAATGTTGGATTGTATACCTGGATTATTGAGCATGGACTTTGTTATCACTAGTATTGTGTTGCTGAAAATAAATGACTGTGATAAACTGTGGAAAAATCTCAAACTCAAGAGCCGCGGGCCAACACTCATCCCCCGAGGTGATAATTTAAATGTAAAATTTTGTATCTCTTTTATTTTTTTCTTTAAAACAACTGATAAATACATAATTTAATGTAGACTTCTCTTGCCAGCTGTCTAACTTTGAAGTCAGACAGAAAGCTGATCATTCTATCATTATTGATTCTGATGTAAAAAGCAAGAGAACGTCAAATGAGACTGATCAAACTCTTGTTGATGAACCTGCAACCAAGAAAAGACACCAGGTATCTGACTCGAGTTAATGTATCAGCTGAAAGTGGCCCAAAGTTTTTTTTTTAATTTTGGCTTCTTTTGGTAACTGAGTTCAACACTCCTACTTTATAGCAAAGAAAAAGCTTCAGATTTCGAAGCGACAGCAAGCTGTAAAGATGCAGGAGAGGATTTGAGTTCTTTTTTTTGCTCAAACAAACCTGGTCTGTTCGGTACGACGACTGCTTGCGCGGCAGGCTGAGGAAAGGTGGCACGAGAGGCGGTGAGAGGGACGTGTGGGTGGGAAGGACCCGGTGATCGAACGGCAGAGGAGGCAGGGTGGGCTGGCCCACGCTCAGAGACACGGGCATGGGGTGGCTGATGTGCAGGGGCTGGTAGAGGGGCAGCCTGCGCAGGCTGTGGGAGTGGAAGCTGTGAGGAGGCAGGAGAGGCTCGGCACTCAGGAGAGATGGCTGGAAATCAAAAGAGAGGACGGTTTGATTACTGATCATACTGAGCCATGACTGAGTGACAAAGAGCCGGAGCAGGCAGAAACTTTGGAACTAAACTGTGAATTTTCTAAGGAAATAGGATTCACACCTGTGCTTTTCCTAAAAACAACATGTCTCACATCTTTCACACCTTCCATCCTATCAGAGAAAATGACTACTAAAACAAAAGGTGATGAATCTAGTGCTGGCGACATTTTGATTCATTTATCTTTTGTTCAAGCAGTGACTGGGATCTCCAGCTTTCGTTCAATTTTAAATAATGATTTGTTTGATGCGATGCAGCTGTGCTGTTCACAGATCTGAGTCAACGAGTGTATCTAACTAAATGAACGAGCAGATGCAGATGAGTCAGTCATACCGTACTTTCAATAAGGTTTTGTTCTCTTCTGGTCTTTTCACTGTTTTTTATTGTCCGTCGCAGATCTTTATTTGAAGATATTGTTCATGCTCATAAAATGTCCTAAATTGAAGATGTGCATTTATCACTATGAAGAAGATTGTGCTATCTAAATAAATAATTACATAAATAAAGACATAACTAAACTAAGATAAGTTAAAACACAGTAGAATAAGCTAAAACGTAAAGTCAAGTTAAACAAAGGGTAGATGCTAAACTAAAGTAAATCTAATCAGATTAAAAGATACAATAATGCAAATTAAGACAAAATACAGTACGCCAAGCTAAACTAAACCATAAACTGAATTATCCAAACATAAACTATGATAAAATCAAGTAAGCTAAGCAAAGCTAAACTAAGTTATGCAAATCTAAAGAAGTTAAGTCTGGTCCTCTGGACAGGTTTAACTTTTTTTTAGATTTGCTACCTGGATTATTGAGCATGCATCAGGATAAGTTATGCAAACATAAACCAATATAAAATAAGATAAACTATCCAAACATACACTAAATTAATCTAAACGATAATCTTAAATAAAATAAGATTAAAAACTAAGGTGAGATAAATAAGAAACTAAACTAGCCAACATGTCAAGATTAACATGTTGACGTCAGAATCAGACATAAAACTATAAAACAAACATTTTAGTTCATTAAAGCCAGAGTCTGAACATGAGTTGTGACCAAATGTATTTCTTCAGAGGGTTTGGCTGGTGGACAGCACACCTTAGGACTGGGCAATAAATATATATATTTAAAATATATTTATATAATTTCATACGAGATATAAGCTGAGACTATATTGCTTGTATAAAAATAGTTTATGTTGTGTTATATTATTGCAGTTGAGATAAAACGTGAGAAGTGGCGTGGCATTATGAAAGCATATAAACCCCATGGGACTTATTTCTATAACTACTGACATTGAGGCTAATGTCGGTGTAACTGAATAAATGTGTGTCAATTTTTAATCAGCTGATTTGAGCAAGCTAGATTTTTGTTATGCTCACTGTGTAGCTTTTCTCTTTGCATTTTAACTGCACAGCTGTGGGACTTTTAGGTTATGCATGAATTGAACATTATTGTATTTTATTCAAAGAGAATTCTTGTATATGCCAATTGTTTATTATCTGCAGCGGTGTGTTAATCAAAGTGCCTGTGTGACAGCTGGGACTTGCAGGTTTGACTCAGAAGTGTATTTTTTGTTACAACTTTATGGGAAGAAATAAATATCTAGATTTATATCTTATAGCCCCATTCAGTAAAAACATATGGAGATATTATTTTTGGTCCATATCACTCAGCCCTGCACAATGAAATAATGCAGATGTATGGATGAGAGCTCTGTTGTGATGCTGACACATCTTCACAACTTGCTCCGGTGGCCACAATGGCAGGACAAGACATGCTGTTTCACAAAGCCACTCTAGTGGGCGGTATACTACACATAAAAAATAAACTGGATACAACTCTATACTCAATTATGACATTAGATCGAACTTTTATACATAGCCGTTGCAGATAGAGGCAAGTGCAAACTCATTTTAGATCAACACAATTTCATGCATATAAATACCCGCTCCTTCATTTTGCTGCACAGACACAACAATAGGCAATCTCTTTCTACGCCAGTCATTTTCAGCAAACAAATCAAAAGCTATTTTCCTCCACCGGCAGAATCAATCAACTCTGCTCCCCTCTCAGACAAAAAAAAAGAAGAAAATAAATAAATAAAACTATCCAAAAATTGCAAACAAAACATTAAAGGGGTTCAAATTACGACATCCCCGCATCTCATTTCCAAAAGCACAAGCTCTCAATTACAGTTCTGTCGTGTCCTGTCAACAGCAGCGCAGTAATTAATATTTCCTTTTCGGTGAGATATAGTGAGGCTGAATCAATTACCGGGCTTGCCGTGAGCTTATTGTATCAAAAAGTCTGAAAGCGTGACAACTCAAAGATGAGGTTTGACCGCAGGTTACTGAACAAAAAAGTTATTACAAATAAAGCAAAATGGTCTATGAGGAAAAAATGAGCCCACAAAAACATTGCAGATAACTCACCTTATAAATATTAGCTGTGGAGGGCTTGGGTGGAGGCTTGCGTCGTGGAGTGGGTCGGTACCTGGACTCGGTCCTGATGGGACTGGTTGGTCTGCTTTCCTCCAGAGATCTACCAGCAAAATAAATTAGGATAAAGATAAGCTGCATTTACAAAATAAACAAGCATAAACTTTTCTTGATAACACTTGACTAAAGAGGGTGCTTGTTATAAAATATTATATCAAGTATTATATCAAAGTTTACGTTTCTTCCAGAAGTTCATTATTGCCTATTTGTTTTGGATTTGTTCTTTCAGTATACTGTATTTATGGAATGATGAACAAATCGACAACCACCTTTTCTGCTCCTCTGTCATGTGGGGTTCCTCAGGGCTCCATTTTAGGGCCTTTGCTTTTTTCTTTGTATCTACTTCCTCTAGGATCGATTTTTAGAAAACACGACATCTCCTTTCAGTGCTACGCTGATGATTGCCAAATCTATGTGCCTTTAAGGCGACTTGATGCTTGGACCATTAAACCTCTTTTATTGTGTCTCGAGGATCTTCAAGCTTTATTACTGATGTCAAATAAGGACCACAGTCAAGTCTGGTTTTTATCATTTAAGAAAATTAGCAAAGGTAAAGTCTATTCTTTCAAGGCAACAGTTTGAAACAGTAATCCATGCTTTCATTTCGTCACAGCTGGATTACTGTAATTCCACCAATCTCTGAGTCAGCCAGTCCTCACTTACACGTCTGCAGCTGGTGCAAAATACTGCTGCACGTCTTTACACAGGAATATGTAAAAGCGAGCACAACACCCCTGTCCTTGCTTCTCTCCACTGGCTTCCCATGTATTTTAGAGTTCATTTAAAAATACTTATGTTTGTTTGTAAGGTTTTAAACAGCCATGCCCCGCCTTATTTAAAAGAGCTTTTCCACCTCTACACTCCCACTCGGTCACTCAGGTCTGCTGACCTGCTGCTTCTGGTCATTCCGAAGAATAAGAGGAAGCTTAGAGGAGACAGGGCTTTCTCTGTTAGTGGCCCTAAGATATGGAATGCTCTGTCTTTGCACATTCGACAGGCCCCTTCACTGTCCATTTTTAAAATCCGTCTGAAAACGTATCTCTACTCATTGACCTTCAACTCAACTGAGACTTGATTTTACTTCATTTTTATTGGTATTGATTTATCTGTTTCTTTTGTTTGTATTCAAATGTCTTCATGATCTCGCCCCACAGTATCAGTCCGACCTTCTCCAGCCGTACATTCCCTCACGCTCTCTGAGGTCAGCAGATCAGCTGCTGTTGGCCGTCCCAAAGTCCAACAGGAGGCTGAGAGATGACCGAGCGTCCTCAGTCGCTGCCCCTAAACTGTGGAACGAGCTGCCTTTGCACGTCAGACAAGCTGACTTACTTCCTGTTTTTATATCTGCTCTGAAGACTCATTTTTTTCTCTTTGGCTTTTAACGCAGCTTGAAATGTTGGTTTTACTGTTTTATGTTAGTTGTTTTATTGTTGTTACTGTTTGCTGTTTTATGATTTGGTAGTTCATTACTTTTATGGTATTTGTTGAGTTCATAGCTTTTATGCATGTATGTGTTAGTGTACAGCACTTTGGCCAACGGTGTTGTTTTAAAGTGCTTTATAAATAAAGTTGTATTGTATTGTATTGTTTAACTCGTCGTTTTATTGTGTTTTATATTGAGTTTTTAATTAACTGTGCACTTAGCTTTGTCACTTCATTTTTATGATTTCTTTTATCTTATTTATTACTGATGTTCAGCACTTTGTTTCAGCTGTGGCTCGTGTTAAAGCACTTTATAAATGAAGTTGTTGATGATGATGATAAAGAAAATGTGGCTCAATTAGGCATCCACTAGCGGTGGAGCGACATCATAGCGTTTTTTAGAGATGAGTTTCTTTCCGTGTAAGTCCAACATTCACATCGGTTTTAGATCAGGAGAGACTGTGCATGTCCTTAGCTGCACTACCTACAAATTTCTGATTTTAGAAATGTGCTTTAAAAATGACTTGTTCAAAGAATTTGTTCAAAAAGCAAAAACAGATATGCCTTCAAATAACGTATTCCTTAAAATGAACAAAAATCAGCTAAATAATAGAAACAAATGATGCAATTACATTAAAAGCTCATAGAGTATTAAACTAATCTTCTTGGTAGAAAACAGGATGCTGGGTTTACATTAAATTGAAAGGTTTGAGATCAACTAGTTGTAACATAAAAATAAAAAAAATCAAACTCTTTAAAATAGTATAGGAAAATAAAAAACCCCCCCCCCCCCCCCCCCCCCCCCAAAAAAAGAAATTTTTTTTTGTTTGTTTGTTTCCGAAGTGACGTTACCTGAGTTTTTCCAAAGTGCTCTTCTTATTGCTGATGAAGAGGCGCAGCAGAGTCTTCCTCTTCAGGCAGATGACAACAGTGGCCACAAGAAGGCTAACCAGGGTGACCAGGATTGCCACAGTAATGATCACGCTGTCGGCTGATGCCATATACGACAACACGCACATTAATACACACACACGCACATCTACAGCACAGAACAGTGACAGGACATAAGACTGTTACAGCTAGATCATGGTCGCAATAACATTTAAATTCCTTTATATTTATATAAATACTGTTTAATCGTGATATTTATCACTTGTGGACCATCCATCTATCCAGAACTGACCCTGGTGCAGCTGTTTATTCAATTTTATTTTTTTTAGTAGGTCCTGTTGTATCTGTTTAGTCGAGCAAAAACGGAGATTAAAAACCATTGAACTACCTGCTAGCCTCATCGGCCCGCTGTCAATGCTTCCGCCGAAACCTGCTTTCTCACAGAATGGAGGAGCCCAATGTGCTTCACAGTGGCAGTTCATCTTGTTGTTGCACACCTGTGAGCAGAGAAGATGCATTTGATATCAGACTGATTTATTTAGTTTGCCCTTCGGTAAAGAGCATGTTGAAAACAGATCTTATAAATGGATAAAACATGTGTGGGAGAGTCTATCTGGCAATGACTAAAAGCTCCAGAGCAAAAAAAAAAAAAAAAAATTGGACCAGTGAGGATTCCCCAGAGTAATATCAAAATCCAGCTGTTGGCTGGACGGAGGATAAAGGCGGAGGGAGCTGTGCAGATGTGGAGGATTTTCTCTTGAGACACACAGCTGAAGAAGCATCCCTGCAAAGACTCTTTCCACTATGAGTTATAAATTTAAAAGACACTTATGGTGGGTGAAGTGGGAGGTTTGTTGGATGGAATTAATTAGAATAGGAAATGTCAATTGAACGCAAAACAAACAAAGACTATACACACACACACACACACATATATAAGCATATATATATGTATATAGATATATACAGATAGATATATATATATATATATATATATATATATATATATATGGTTATCTAGGGATATCTCTGAAAAAGGCAACACATCAAGAACTACATGTTGTATTTGTAGCATGAATAATGATCAGGCTTTATGCTCAGTTTGTTTCTTATGTATCAGATAATTATTTAAATAATTAGTATAGTTAGGTGAAAGTTTATGAAATACAGCAAATATTAAACCTAAATGTAAAAAAAATAGCTTTTGATTAAAGTTATGTATTTTGAAGAAAGGCAAGTTAGAAGGACAGTATTCTTTAGGGTGCATCTAACTACTTTATGATGTTGAGAATATTTTTGCAGATACTGTATATATTTTGAACAATCCTTTTATTTTACATGGAGCAAATCAGAGTATGTTCTTTTTTTCTTTTTGCTGATCATATTAGTGTTTACTGATAGGCTTTAATGTTGATGCAAATTTGAATGAATTACATAAGGGAAATGAAAAAAAATAAAACTAAAAAGAGTCCAAAATGATAGCTTTGATTTCACATTGGATAGATGTCTTGCCATAATTGACAGTGAAGATCAGTGGTTACTGTGGGATAACACTGCCTGTGGTGAATGCTGCAATTACAGAACTAAACAACAAAGTAAATAAAACATAAAAGCATCCTTTGTTGAATTATTGAAAAGAGATGCTGTGAAAAGAAGGTGATCATTTTAGAAAAACGGCAGTGCTACCATTATGTTCTACCTCTTCGTGTTTCTACATTGTTAAAAAAAACGATAGAAATGTAAGTAAACCTTAAAAAAATGTGTTTATATTAACTAGATTTGACCTCAGGTGAACAATAAAGACTGATTGTACAAAAATAGAGCAAGCTGCACTGTAAAGCCACTGTTCCTCTTTGAGTGTTTTGTAATTACAGTGCAGAGAGGGAGCAATCTGATTGTGCGTTAGGCCAAAATGTAAATGAATGGACAAATACTCAGTCTTCAGAGGCTTGTAACACTCTGCAGTGCATAATTTAACACTAAAGAGTGAACTAAAAGGCCGTTTGCACTCACCCCACGTCCATTGCACTTCCCGGAGCATTCAAGCACACCAAAGACACTGACATTCTGGCACTGCCGGTTCAGGCACACCTAGAAAGAGAGAAGCATCATTAAACATTTTCACATGTACTGAACTGCAAAGGCAAAGACATTGAACTAAAAAGGAATGTGAACATAAAATAAGAAATGTGCACATGGATGCACCATGGAGTAACATGAGAACATTTAGGAGAAGAAGACATTTCTAGTTGTAAATTTAATCAGTCAGTCTATCCATCCGTCCATCCGTCCATCTGTCCATCCATCCATCCATCCACCCATCTGTCCATCCATCCATCCATCCATCCATCCATCTGTCCATCCATCCGTCTATCCATCCGTCCATCCATCCGTCCGTCTGTCTGTTCATCCATCCATCCATCCGCCCGTCTGTCTGTTCATCCATCCATCTGTCCGTCCATCCATCCATCCATCCGTTCGTCCGTCCATCCATCCATCCGTCCATCTGTCCGTCCATCCATCCATCCATCTGTCTGTCTATCCATCCAGCCATCCGTTCATCCACCCATCCATCTGTTTGTTCATCCATCCATCCATCCATCCATCCATCCATCCTTCCATCCATCCATCCATCCATCCATCCATCCATCCATCCATCCATCCATTTATTTTAGCAGGTATGTAATTAATGTTTTGCATAGAAACTCTTTTGAAACATCTTTTGGAAAGATACAAAATGTTATAAATGCTGTAACTACTTAGTAGCAAACCAAAACTTCAAAACAAACAGACAGACAGACAGACAGACAGACAGACAGACAGACAGACAGACAGACAGACAGACAGACAGACAGACAGACAGACAGACAGACAGACAGACAGACAGATAGACAGATAGATAGATAGATAGATAGATAGATAGATAGATAGATAGATAGA